GTCAGACTCTCTTTTCTTTTAGGTTCTTTCTTTCTTTTTTTTAAATTTTAGTATATAGCCCAGACTAGCCTCGAACTCACAATCTACCTGCCTCAACCTCCTGAGTACTAGGATTATACATTTATACCACCACTCCTAGCTCAAAATCTGAAACTTTTTTTTGAAGGGGGGGTGACTAAGGTTTGAAATCAGGACTTTGTGTTTGGAAAGCAGGTGCTCTATCACTTGAGCAACTCTGCCAGTCCCATTTTGCTCTGGTTATTTTGGAGATGGGGTCTCCAACTATTTGCCTGGGCTGGCCTCAAACTACAATCCTCTCGATCTCAGCCTCCCAAGGAGTTAGGATTACAGGTGCAAGCCACCAGCACTCATCAAAATCTTTCTGAGTGTCAGCACAATGCCACAAGTGGAAAATTCCACACCTGACTTCATATGACAGGTCACAGTGAAAACGCAGGCACACTAAAAATAAAATGACCTCTAGACTATGTTTAGGCATATATGTCGGGACTTGGGTTCCATCCCCAAGATAACTCATTACATTAATTGGGGGAGGCAGTATTTGGGTTTAAACTCAGGGCCTCACACTTGCTAGACAGGTGCTCTACCAGTTGAGCCACTCAGCCAGTCCAAAATCTCATTACATATATGCATATATTCCAAATTTTTTACAAAATCGAAAACACTTCTGGTCCTAAGCATTTTGATTAGAGATACTCAACTGGTGTAGATTTTCTCTTGATATATAAAACACTTCGGTTCTCGATTCCAGGGATCATAAGCAAATTTGTCACTTATGTGAGCATCCAGGGGAAGGCTCATTAATTGCATTCAGATTGGACTATTAATTGTGTGCAAATTTGTTACCTCTCCTGAGTCCCACCCACTAAATGACAGCCATATCACCATCTCTAGGACAATCAAAAATAGTCCATGGGCTGGAGATGTAGCTCAGTTAATAGAGCGCTTATCTAGCATGTGCAAGACCCTGGGTTGGATGGCCAGCATCACAAAAAAGCAGTGGTCCTTGATTCCAACTATGTTGTTACAGCCCAGCCTATTTGGCCTCCTGAGCAACCCCCCAGATGTTCCACAGAGCCCCCAGACTCAAAGCATCCCTAAATGACCTTATCACCTGCCCCTCTACCATCTTCATTCTTCACCTTGAACCCAAACCCTACTCTAATCTCCCTTGCTCAATCCTCCTCCCACACACCCTTCTCTTCCTCTCCAAATGATGGTAGCATCCCCTCTCTGGCTTTCCCACCTCCCATCTGTTAGCTTTTTTCATCAATGTGATAAAATACCTGATACATAACTGGGTGCTGGTGACTCACACTTGTAACCCTAACTATTTCGGAAGCTGAGATCAGGACTGCAATTCGAGGCCAGCCAGGCAGATATTTAGTCTCCAAAATAGCCAGAGCAAAATGGACTGGAGGTGTGGCTCAAGTGGTAGAGCCCCTGCTTTGCTTTCAGAGATTTCAGTCCAAGTTTGGCTAGACCCATTGCGTTGGGCCTGAGGTGAGGCAGAGCATCATGGCAGTGGGAATGTGTGGCAGAGGCCCTCACCTCATGGTGGCCAGGAAGCAGAGACAGAGGTAGTAAGGGGCCAGGGTGAGATATACCCTTCACAGACCTCCAACCAGGTCCCACCTACCACAGTTCCCCCACTCCCCAAAAGTCTATCCAAACTCTGAATCCTACAATGAATTAAACCACTGATTAAATCAGAGCCCTCGTGATCTAATTGTCTAATTGTCTGGAAACACCCTCATAGACATACCAAGTGGTGTGCTTTCCTGATCTCTCAATTCATTCGAGGTGGCAATCAAGATTTAACAGTACACCCTCCATCTCTGCCAAGCTCTCCTGTCTCAAAGGAGCTTTCAAACTACAGGATCATCAGCCACACCCCTGTTCTAAGTTCACAACCTGAACCATGAAGCCTGAATTCCTATCCTTTGGCATTTGAAGCTCCTTATGGGAGCTGGTTCCGGCTGATCTCACCTCTATTCATTTATCCTTCCCTTCTTCCTTCTTTCATTCATTTGAATAAGTCCTGGCACCCTTTTCAGGTCCAGCATTGATTGCCCAACTCCCTGCCCTCAGGAGCTCACAGATGAGGCTGATGGATGTGATATCCAATAGGTGGATGAGGTTATGGTGAGGGACGCCTCAGGAACTCTGGGGAGGTCCAGTTGCAGCACCTTCCCAGGCCCTGAATTTCAACAGCTCATTTCCTCCTTCAGGTTTTCATAACCTCCTTTAGGCCCCAGGCACAGGGTCCCTTAAGGCCACTCCTCTGTGCAGTCAGCCTGGTATGCTCTCTCCCTTTACCCCAACCAAATTCATTCAGTGCCTTAAACACACTGACCCCCTCAGACACATGCTGCTTCTGTTTGGGACTTCCTGGCTGGAAAGGAGTGTGGCAAACAGGGACAGTATAAACAACATGGAGCTTCCTAGTCTGGTGAACTCAGGCTCGGACAAGATGTCCCTCCTCCAGGAAGTCCTCATCCCAAGACCAGGAGCTCCTGAGGGCAGGAAGTGATAGGTTCTGTCATATGCACAAGGGTCAAGAGGAGCAAAAGATGCTGGAAAAGAAAGTCAAATCTTTGCTAGGGATGTAGCAGTGGAGAACTTGCCTAGCATGTGCAAAGCCCGAGGTTCCATACCCAGCACCACAACAAAATAAAACAACCAAAGTCGAATCTTCAAAGAGGATCCAAATTTCCCAGCAGATTTCAGGGAAAGGAATCAAGTATGCTGGACCTAGAGGATTAAGCAGGAGGGATGAGGCCAGGCCCAGTCATGGAAGGGATTTTCTCCTGGGGACATTAGGGAACCTTGGAATGTTCTTGAGAAGGGGAAGGGGCACGGTCAGATACCAGACATGCTGACAGCCAGAGGGGACAGGAGTTTGCTGAGGAATTCCCATGGGCATTGAATGAGCCCAGCCTTTGGCATGGGGCAAATCTGGCTTCTAATCCTAGCCAAGCAACTTGATACCTTCTATGAGCTTCATTTGTCCCATCAGTAAAATGGGAAAAACAGCCACACTTCCAGGGATAATGTGAGGATCAACTGCTTTGGGGAATAAGGTGGGGTAAGAAGCTGGCACCCCTGCCCAGCCCAAGTGGCATCTGACAAAATTAACATTCACCAGGTACCTATGCCGTGCCAGACTGGGATGGGGCAAAGTGGTAGGGTCACCAGTCCTCACATTTTCTCAGTGGGATGTAGGCTAGGAGGGAAACTGAGGCTCTAGGACTGAAGACACGAGTATATGTGCAAGGGTGGAGAGTTCAAACCTAAGTGCATTTGACAGTAAAGAGCAGACTTTTGCAGCTACATGGACAAGAGTCTGCATTGGAGCTGAGATGGCTTTTGACAAATCACAAGGAGGAAAGCTGCCTCAGGCAAAGGTACAGAAGTGACAGCACAAGCAACACAGAGCAGCAGAGGGAGGATGGGGGAGTCAGGGCTTCAGCCCCTCAAGAGGCTTCCCACTCGAGTTGTCACTGTGAATTTTCGTATGGCAAATCTGATCCCACCTCTGCATGGCTGAAGACCTGTCTGTGGCTTCCCATCACCCTCTAGTAACCTGTTCCACAAAGAATTTTTTTTTGCAGTCCTAGGATTTGAACTCAGGGCTTGAAAGGCAGGCACTCTACCACTTGATCTGCTCCTCCAGCCTTTTGTTTGTTTCTTGAAACAGACTGTCACTATGTAGCCCAGACTGGCCTTGAACTTGAGATCCTCCTGCCTCAGCCCCCTGAGCAATGGGATTAAAAGCATTCACCACAAGCCTGGCTATTCCACAGAGAATTCATAAGCACCTAAGGGGGGCTGGAAAGTATTAGTCCTTCAAGTAGAACTTTTCCAGTTCCCCACTCTATCCTCCACAACTTTGTCCATGCTGATCCTTCTGTCAGACACCCTTCCTTGCTTGATTAATGACAATCCATCCTTTAGATCTTGGCTTAGGTGGCCAAGTGAAGGACAGGGCAAAAACATCCAGAGGGACAGAAGATATAGCTCAGTGGTACAGCACTTGCCTACCATGTGCAAGGCCCTGGATTCCATCCCCAGCACCACAAATAAAGAAAGAAATAAGCAGGAAGTGGTAGTGCACACCTGCAATCTCAGCACTTGGGAGGCTAAAGCAGGGTTGCACATTTGAGACCAGCCTGGATAACTTAGCAAAACCCTGTCTCAAAATGAAATTTTTTTACAGGGTAGGGGTATAGCTTCATGGAATAATGATCACCCAGCATGCATAAGGCACTGGGTCTCATCCCCAACACACACACACACACACACACACACACACACACACACACACACACACACACACATAAATGTTTAATTTTTTTAAAGTACCAGATGGGGAAGAATGTAACAGTGTAGGCAGGAAGGTGAAGAACAGGGTCACAGAGGGTACACAGGGCAGGGTCACAGCCATGTGGTGGCCCAGAAGGGTTCAGAGGGCAGGTTGGAATGCATGACCAGTAGACAGAGTGGAGAAAGGACTGTCCTCAAGGTGAAGGGACTAGGCAATGAGTCAAATGCCACAGAGAGGTCAGGGATAACGCAGCCTAGATCTGGACAGGGAGTGGGAAGGAAGTGAGAATGAGGGCAAGTGGACTCCCCCATCAAGCTTCTGTCCTCTTTCCTCCCTTCCACAGCCTGTCAGAGCCCCACTGGGCTGGGAATCCCTGTCTCCTCCATGGCAGGGGCATACAAAGTGGAGGGATGGATGGACAGAGGGACCATAAGAGAGGGCTTGAGAATGAACCAGAGCCATCATTCTGGTTTAGACAGGGAGCCTGGCTGGCTGGGACCTTGCCTTCCTCTCCTGGTGTCCTCAAGATGGGGAAGGAGAGATGGAGGTGGCTGAGGTGGGGCAGACTCAGAAGCTGGTGGCGGAGGTGAGCCAGGCACTCCCACAGTACCCCCTGCAGGGCTTAACTCCCATCCTGCCACCCCACCCCCAGGGCAGCAAGGAGCGTTTCCACTGGCAAAGCCACAACGTGAAACAGAGTGGCGTGGATGACATGGTGCTGCTGCCCCAGATCACAGAGGACGCCATCGTGGCCAACCTTCGCAAGCGTTTCATGGATGACTACATCTTTGTACCCTGGGCCGCAGGCAGGGAAGGGCTGGAAGGAAAGGAAAATGACAGAGCAATAGAGGAGAGGATGACATGACAAGGGGAGAGGATGACATGACAAGGGAAAAGGATGGCAGAGGTGTGACAGTGCATAAGGACATAGGGATGCCTGAGCCAGAGATAGACAGGAGGATGAATGAATGGAGAGGTGGGCAGTTAGGACACCAGGTTGGAGGACAGAGAACAGATGAGGTAACAACAGGGTTGTGGTTGGGGACAGTTGTGGCTGCCGCTGCTCCCCCCATCCTATGGTAGCTCAACCACAGCACATCCCATACCCCCCTTTCTGGACCCAGCCCTGTTTTTTCCTAAGGGACTTGAAATACATCTGAGTGTCTCCATCTCTCCCTCCCATGGGAACAGGATGAAGGGACAGGGGTTCTTGAGGGACAAACTGGAACACTGTATGATCCTTAACTGCCTCTCAGACATACATCGGCTCCGTGCTTATCTCTGTGAACCCCTTCAAGCAGATGCCCTACTTCACTGACCGCGAGATAGACCTCTACCAGGGCGCGGTGAGGCTGGGGTCAGGCGGGAGGAACAGTCCCAACCCTAAGACCCCCAGCCCCTAGCCCTGTGCTGAGACCTGCCCTCCCCCACCAGGCCCAGTACGAGAATCCCCCGCACATCTACGCCCTCACCGACAACATGTACCGGAACATGCTCATCGACTGCGAGAACCAGTGTGTCATTATCAGGTACTGCAGGAGAGGGGTGAACTCTATACTCATTCAAATATCACCATCCCCCCAAGAGTGGTTTGCCTGGAACTCCCAATCCAAACCAAGCTGTCCCTCTCTGCCCCTACCGCCCTGTTCCACTTTCCTTGTACCACTTAACACACAATGTATCTTATTTATTCATTCCATTATTGTCCATTGGTTCCTAGTACATATCAGCTCTATGTGGGCCTGGATTTTTATCTGTCTTGTTCACTATTATATCCCTAGTACCGGGAAGAGTATCTGGGACACAGTAAGTGCTCAATGCATGAATGAATGAATGGTTAGACATTAGAAAGTTCCCTCTCCACTACTCCTCCCCACTGACTGTTCCTTCCTCCATCCACCCCCAGTGGAGAGAGCGGAGCTGGGAAGACAGTGGCCGCCAAATACATCATGGGCTACATCTCTAAGGTGTCTGGTGGGGGAGAGAAGGTCCAGGTAAGGCAAGAACAGGATAGGCTGGGACTCCCCCAGCTGCCAGTAGCTCTTCTCCAACTAACCCAGACTGGCCTCTTCCCACCTGCCTCTGCCCCCAGCACGTCAAGGACATCATCCTGCAGTCAAATCCACTGCTAGAGGCCTTTGGCAACGCCAAGACTGTGCGCAACAACAATTCCAGCCGCTTTGTGAGTGAATACAACCTTGCTTGGAACTACACACACACACACACACACACACACACACACACACACACACAGAGCCAGGACCAAAGCCCTGTGGGAATTCAGGAGGAAACAACTACTTCCGCATGGGAGACTCACTTCCTATATGTGGTCCCCCAGAAACTGTGAGGCCATGACACTTCTGTGTAACATCTTTAAACACTCCCCTGACTGCTGTCATGCTACCTCTGTTCCTTTTAGCATTTCAGGTGCAATTTATTCCTTCATTCAACAAATAGTTCTTAGGATCTGGGTTTATAGTCTAATTCTCTCCCTATTTAGCTGTGTGGCCTGGATGAAAAAAAATATGTAATTTCTAATGTTCATATCCATCACATAGACCTCAGTAACTTCAGTATAATGCCAATATATGGATATCTATTCCATTCACTAATAAGATTTTTAGGTTGTGGCTCAAGTGGTAGAGCACCTGCCTAGCAAGCACAAGATCCTGAGTTCAAACCCCAGTATCACCAAATGAAAAATAATAAATTTTTAGTTACCTAAATATTTTATAGCATTATCTGTAACACGTTTTCATATAAGTATGCTAAATATTTGTCCCATTTTATTAGGAAAAATTTCAACCATACAGAAAGGTTAAAAGTACTCCAGTAAACATCCATGTGCCCATTTCTTAGATTCCACCATGAACATTTCACTATACAGGCTGAACAGCCCTAATCTAAAAACTCTGAAATCCAAAATGCTCCAAAATTCAAAACCTTTTAAATACAAACTCAATGCCACAAGTGGAAAATTCCACCCCTGACCTCATGCGTTGAGTCATAGTCAAAACGCAGCCATACTAAAAATAGAGCACCTTCAGGCCATGTGTAAAAGTGTGTATGAATCATAAAGGAATTTCATGCTTAGACTTGGGTCCTATTCCCAAGATATGTCATTATATGTATCAAATATTCCAAACTCCAAAAACACCCAAAACATGCAAACTTTCTGACCCCAAGTATTTTGATAAGAGACCCTCAACCTTTATTCCCTTCACTGAATCTCCACTACCTACTCATCCACATTATTATTATTGATTACTATTATTGGCAGCACTGGGATTTGAACTCAGGGTCTCATGCTTGTTAGGCAGGTGTTTTCTACCACTTGAGCCACTCCACCAGCCCTGTTTTGTGTTGGATATTTTGAAGAGAGGGACTCACAGATTGTTTGCCTGACCTGGCCTGGCACCTCAATACTCCTGATCTCTGCCCCCTAAGTAGTAGGCTCATCCACATTATTTTTATTGACATATTATAATTACACATATGTATGGGGGACATATTATTTTTGATACACTGCAAAATAAACATGTACCACATATACCCCCAACACTTCAGCATGCAGATCATTAATTATTATCCAATATAAAATTTGCAGCTCTTATTTCTTTAATTTTTCTTATTTTTTGAGACAGGATCTTACTATAGCCCAGGCTGGCCTTGAGCTCTCAATCCTCCTGCCTCAGTCTTACAAATGTTGGAATTACTGGTGTCCACCACCACACCTGGCATTCATTTTGTCTGGAGTAATATTTGCATACAGCAAAATACATAGATCCAATGTGGACCATTCTTTGAGTGTGGACAAATGCAACCCAAGACCCCTACCAACTTAGAGTATCACTGTCACTCTAGAAAGTTCCCTCTTGTGCTTTTCCCATTGATCTCTATTCCCAGCCAACCCTAGAAGCAACCACTCCTCTAATTTATTTTTTGCCATATATTATTTTCACCTGTTTAGAATTTCAAGTAAATGAAATCACATCATCTTTGTTTTCAAACTCCTAGTACACACAAAACATGGATGATTTTCAAAGCATATATAAAAGTTATATAATCTTAGTGCACAATAGAATAAGTAGTTGTTATATGTTATGGGTGTTTAATTGTGTAGAATGAAGATGTAATTTGCATTGTCATTGGATGGAGGTGGATAAGAGTGGTAGAAAGGAGACAAAGCCAGGCACTGGTTATGCCTATAATCCTAGCTATTGGGAAGGCAGAGATCAAGAGGATTGAGGTTCAAGGCTAGCCCAGGAAAATAGTTCTCGAGACCCTATCTTGAAAATACCCAACAAAAAAAAGGACTCGAGGTACGGCTCATGTGTTACAGCACCTGCCTAACAAGAGTAAGGCCCAAGTTCAAACCCCAGTACCACCACAAAATAAAAAAGAAGAAAGAAAAAAAGAAAGGAGGCATAGGAGATTTTTCTGTTCTCCAACCTCTAGCCAGGGCAGAATCCAGATGCCCAGATGGTATCAGAGACCAAAGAAGGGGCTTGTGGGGCCTTTGCTTTGGGCTCAGGGGGAACACAAAAGGACCACTGAGATTAATAATATTAATTAATTAATATTAATTAATTATAATTAAATAATTAATAATTAATAGAGTCCCACAGAAGACACAGAAGCCTCTGGGTTATGATGGAAGAACATGGGAACTGGCCGATAAAATGTGACAGGCACAGGGCTGGGTACCCTGAACGAGGTGCAGGATCAGAAGGGGTGGTAAAAGTGGGGCATTCCTGGCCCAGGACACAACCTGAGCTGTGAGGGAAGCAGGAGGCTCAAAGGAAAAGTCGTCAGGAAGTGGCAGAGAGGAGAGAAAGGTGAGTTAAGGTCAGAGGAGGAAGAGGGGAAGAGAGGCCAGGCTCCTAAGACCCCAAACCTCACTTCGCTTGCACTTCTGGGGTTGACATGATTTTCTGGGATTCAGGGCAAGTACTTCGAGATTCAGTTCAGCCGAGGTGGGGAGCCAGATGGGGGCAAGATCTCCAACTTCTTGCTGGAGAAGTCTCGCGTGGTCATGCAGAATGAGAATGAGAGGAACTTCCATATCTACTACCAGGTGCAGGGAAGGGGCTGTGTGGCTGGGACAGAGGGAGCCCCACCTGGATCCCAGGAGCGGGGGAGGGAGACAGGGGAAGGTCAGTGTCTGGGAGCCCGTGACCAAGGACCGTACAGAGTCACCTCCAGACACTTGAGCTTTGCACGCCCTCCAGCTCCTGGAAGGGGCCTCCCAAGAGCAAAGGCAGAACCTGGGGCTCATGACACCTGACTACTATTACTACCTCAACCAATCGGACACCTACAAGGTAGATGGAACTGATGACCGGAGCGACTTCAATGAGACCCTGGTGAGCACCATCCTCAGCCAGTCCCTCAGCCCAGGGAAGTCTTTCACATCCAAGTCAGAAAACCAAGGTCCAGAGGGGGTACAGGGACTTACCCAAGGTCACAGAGCAAGTAGATGAAAAAGGCAAGTCAGGCATCCAAATGTCCTCACCCCTGAGTTCTTGCTGAGACCTCAGGAGCCTGAGCCTGGAGTGAGGGTGGAGACCGAGGTTGGTGTCACAAGCTGTGTCCCTCTTGTTCCCACAGAGTGCCATGCAGGTCATTGGGATCCCTCCCAACATCCAGCAATTGGTCCTGCAGCTCGTGGCCGGGATCTTGCACCTGGGGAACATCAGCTTCTGTGAAGAGGGGAATTATGCCCGAGTGGAAAGTGTGGACCGTGAGTGTGTTACTGAGGAGGAAGGACAGAGGCCTCGTATGTGGGAACTGCTTCCTCCTAGTTCAGAACCCCCAAGGACAACATCAGTGTCACCAAGCAAGATGGGGAGAAAGGGAGGTGCCCACATGTGTCCCAAGAGCCTTATCAGCTGCCTCCTTACGTCTTGGTCTGGCAGTCCTGGCCTTTCCTGCCTACCTGCTGAGCGTTGACAGTGGGCGACTACAGGAGAAGCTGACCAGCCGTAAGATGGACAGCCGCTGGGGTGGACGAACTGAGTCCATTGACGTGACCCTCAACGTGGAACAGGCAGCCTACACCCGAGATGCCCTGGCCAAGGGACTCTATGCCCGCCTCTTTGACTTCCTGGTGGAGGTGAGTGAGACCAGGGCTGTAGGACCAGGCTGAGGTGCTGAGTGGATGTCTGGTACCTGCCAAGTCTGGGCTTGGAGCAGCCAAGTGGGGAAGACAGGCTTGTCTGTCTTCATCTTGCCAGGGCTCAGCTTTCATTATGGGCAGCCTGCAGAGAGAGGGATTGCTGGACCCATGCAAGCCCCATCAGGGCAATGGTTGTAGAGAGAGGTGGGTGGCCGTATCTAACATCAAGAGCCATTTGTAGGGTTGTAAAGGAATCAGTGATGGATGGGATGGGGCTGAAAGGGAACATGACATATCAAGGACGAGAATAATCGCAATATGGCTGGGCATAGTGGCTTGAGCCTGTAATCCCAGCTACTCAGGAGGCGGAGACTGGGAGGATTGTAGTTCAAGGCAAGCCCAGGCAAAAAGTTAGCAAGACCCCATCTCAACCAACAAGCCAGTATGGTGGCTCATACCTGTGCTCTTAACCAAACACAAGGTATACATAGGAGAATCACAGTCCACACCAGCCTAGATATAAACATGAGCTCCTATCTGAAAAACAACTAGAGTAAAAAGGACTTGGGGTGTAGGTCAATCAGTAGAGTGACTGCCTAGCAAGTGTGAGGCCCTGAGTTCAAACCCCAGTATTATTAAAAAAAAAAAAAAGCCATGGCCAGTGTCACACCTGTAATCTTAGCTACATGGGTGACCAAGAGCCAGAGGATCATAGCTCGAGGCCAGCCTGGGCAAACAGTTTGTGAGACTCCATCTCCAAAATAATCAGAGAAAAGTGGACTGACGATGTGACTCAAACAGAAAAGCACCTGCTTTGCAAGTACAAAGCCCTGAGCTCAAACCCCAGTTTACCAACAAAAAAAAAAATGCAGAAGAATGTTATATGACAGTTGGTGTGTGCCAGGCACTGTTCTCAGTGTTTTATATACATCAATTTCATTAATCATCAGAAAAATCCCTGTAAGGGCTGTAGGTATAGTTCAGTGGTTAAGTACTTGCCTACCATGCTCCATGCCCTGAGTTCCATCCCCAGCAGCACACACACACACAAAGAAAATCTCTATCAAGTACATATTGAGCATCTCTAATCTGAAAATCCCAAATACTCCAAAATTCCAAACTTTTGAGTGCTGACATGATGCAATAAATGGAAAATTCCATGTCTGACCTCATAGGTGGGTCCCAGTCAAAACACCCAGGTGTACAAAAATAGTGTATAAAATTACCTTTGGGGGTTGGGCATGCCTGTAATCCCAGCCTGGGAAAAAGCATGAGACCCTACCTCAAAAAATAAATGAAAGCAAAACTGGTTGGGGCTCAAACGGTAGAGTGCCTGCCTGGCAAGTGCCAGGCAGTAGTTCAAACCCCAGTACCACCACAAGAAAAATATGCCTGGGCAATGTATATAAGGTGTATATGAAATATAAATGAATTTTGTTTGGACTTCGGTCCCATCCTCAAGCTATCTCATTGTGCATATGAAAATACTCCCAAATCTGGAACCAAAACACTTCTGGGCCCATGCATTTCAAATAAGGGACCCTCAACCTAGAGTTGCTTTTCAATTTGTGTGTGTGTATGTGGTGCTGGGAATGGAATCCAGGGCCTTGTGTTGTTAGGCAAGCACTTTACCAATGAGTCATATTCCAGTCCCTAGAATTTGCTATTATTAATCCATTTTAGAGATGAGAAAAAAGAGGCACAAAGAGAATCAGTGGAAAAGTCAGGTCCTGAGACGGAAACCCCAGTGTTCCACCACTTGGGTTTCTCAGATGGGTGACTCAGGGGTGGCAAGAGAGAGCTGGTGAAGGGGACAGAGTCCATGAACTTGCTTAAGAGCATACCAAAAGAGTGGAAGTCACTGGGCATTGGTGGCTCACACCTGTAATCCTAGCTCCTCGGGAGGCAGAGATCAGGAGTGCAGGTCAAGACCAGACCTGTAAAATAGTTCATACAACTCTATATCAAAAATATCCAACACAAAACAGGACTGACGGGGTGGCTCAAGTTGTAGAGTGCTTGCCTAGCAAGAGTGAGGCCCTGAGTTCAAACCCGAGTACCGTTAAAAAAACTATATAAATAAATAAAAGGGAGTGGAGGTCAGGTGGCATGGGTTTGTCTGGATGTCCACTGATTTTCTGTCCCCACCTGCACCACAGGCAATCAACCGCGCCATGCAGAAGCCCCAGGAAGAGTACAGTATTGGTGTGCTTGACATCTATGGCTTCGAGATCTTCCAGGTTCAGCCCCTGTGTCCCCAACCCCCATCCCACACCTCTCCTCTCTGTAGCCTTGGGGCAGCCCAGTGACCATAAAAGCCTCCAGCATCAGCCCATTGACGGAGGGACCCTTTTCCTTCCTTGGCAGAAAAATGGCTTTGAGCAATTCTGCATCAACTTCGTCAACGAAAAGCTCCAACAAATCTTCATCGAGCTCACCCTGAAGGCAGAGCAGGTGGGCAGGGCAACTGCGTAGCCAGGGACAGGGCACTTGGGGTGGAGTTCAACTGTGAGAATCACTGAGCCACTGAGGAGCCCACCCTGCTCCCATTCCCACCTCTCTCTGCTTACTTGCTGTGTTAGTCAGTTTTCTATTGCTATAATGAAATACCCGAGAGAATCACCTTATAAAGAGAAATGGTTTATTCTGGCTCAGTTTTGGAGGTTCCAGTCCAAGACTGGATGGGCCTGTAGCTTTAGGTTTCTAATGGAAATTCTGGATAGCAATGGCAGGAGGCATATGATGGAGTGAGTCTCATAGCCAGGGAGAGAGGGAGGGAAGGGCTGGTGTGCCCTTTAAGGCACACCAATGACCTAAAGCCCTCCCACTAAGCCCCATGCCCCAAAGGTTCCACTATCTCCCAATAGTGCCACCCTGGGGACTAATCCTTTAACACATGGGTCTTTGGTAGACATTCAACATCATAAGATTTCCTTCTGCACTACAGCTTGGACAAGGGCTGGGCAAAAGACTCATGGTTCATTCATTCAATAATTATCAGCCAGGTACAGTGGCAGGAGCCTGTAGTCCCCGGTACTGAGGAGACTAAGGCAGGAATATCATTTGAGCCACAGAGTTCAAGGCCTGCCTGGGCAACAGAACAAAAGTCCCTGGGATTACACCTGTAATCCCAGCACTTAGGAGGCTGAGGCAGGAGTATCAGGAGTTTGAGCCCAGCCTGGGCAACATAGTAAGCTCCTATCTCAAAAAAAAAAAAAAGAGAGAAAGAAAAGAAAAAATTGAAAGAGGAAAAAAGAAAGAAAAAAGAAACCTTCTGGGGCATGGCTCAAGTGGTAGAGCACTTGCTGAGCAAGCTCAAGGTCCTGAGATCAATCCTCAGTACCACCTGCCCCCAAAAGGAACATTTATTGACCAGCTGCTGTGTGTCGGACACTGTTCAAGGGGCAGGAGAGACAGCTGGGAATAAGAGAGGCAAAACTCCCTGCTGAGGACAGGAGGTGAATGCAGGTCTGTGGTAGAGCACTTGCCTGAAAGGCAAGATCCCTGTGTTCCATCCCCAGCACCTCAAAAGAAAAACAAAGTCCTTGTCATTTGATTTTGCCTATTCCCCAGATGCAGAGCCTGAGGCAAGGATTCAGGGGCAAAGGGTTTATCTGGAAGGTGATGTTGGGAAACACCAAGAAGGTAATGAGGAAATGAGACAGGGATTTTAAAAGAGCCCAAATAGGGTGTAACTGAGCAGGTTATACCATGGCCAACTGGGACTTAACTCTCTGGAATTTGTGGGAAGCTTTGTAAAGCACATGGTAATTCTAGCTACTCAGATGACAAAGATCAGGAAGACTGTGGTTCCAAATCAGCCTGGGAAAATAGTTTTCAAGACCCTATCTTGAAAATACCCAACACAGGCTGCACACTGGTGGCTCACTCCTGTAATCCTAGCTACTCAGGAGGCAGAGATCAGGAGGATCAAAGTTCGAAGCCAGCCTAGGCAAATAGTTCACAAGACCCTATCTCAAAAACAAACCATTACAAAAAAGGGCTGGTGGAGTGATTCATAGTGTAGGCCTTGAGTTCAAACTCTGGTACCCCTCCCCCTCCCCCCTAAAAAAAAAGAAGAAGAAGAAGAAGAAGAAGAAAATATCCAACACAAAAAAGGACTGGCAGAGTGGCTCAAGTGGTAGAGCACCTGGTCCTTAGTTCAAACCCCAGTGCTGCCAAAAAAAAAAAAAAACCCACACTGCAGAGTTGGCCCAGCAGAGGAGGCTGGGTATTTTTACATCAATTCCTGTTGGCTGTTGATCTGTGGGGGCCAGAGGCAGCGACATAGTTCCCTGGCACTTCCAGCCTGCCTCACACAGGGTCAATTGGCTTTGTTGCCAGACAGTCCTAAGAGATGAATGAGGTGGGATGCACTGGCCACACCTCCTTCAACCGCTCCCATCTCCGCCCCTCTTCCACCCCCAGGAGGAGTATGTGCAAGAGGGCATCCGCTGGACCCCCATTGAGTATTTCAACAACAAAGTCGTCTGTGACCTCATCGAAAACAAGCTGGTGAGGTCTGGGCCAAATTTGGGGGCGTCCCAGTGGGCAGTGGGCCCTGGAGCTGGGCCTGGTAGACCCAGAAAGGATTTATGGCACCTTAGGGCCCACTACCCTCACCCCTTGCCCTCCAGCAGATGGACAACACTTGAAATATCCCCCATCCACCCCACTGATTGTGCCCACCTTTCATTTATTCACTCAACAAACACTCCCCCAGGCAGTCATGCTCAGAATAAGAGAGTTCCAAGTTGATAGGTATGCTAACAAGTGATTCTAATCTGGAGAAGATAAAGAGACATGGACCCCATGAGGAGTGCCCCACCACCACCTCTGGCACCCCAGAAGCTTCCACAGCAGCCCCACTCCCACATACCCAGGCCCTCCACCACCACCCTTTGCATTTGTTTTGGGAAGCCCCCTCCCAGCTCCCCAGCTCACTGGGAGCTGGTGAGCAGGATGGGGGAGACCTTGACCTGACTGAGCCCCACCTCCACTTTCCCGACAGAGCCCCCCAGGTATCATGAGCGTGCTGGACGACGTGTGCGCCACCATGCATGCCACAGGCGGCGGTGCAGACCAGACATTACTGCAGAAGCTGCAGGCGGCTGTGGGCACCCATGAGCACTTCAATAGCTGGAGCTCTGGCTTCGTCATCCACCACTATGCTGGCAAAGTAGGTGGCACCCCGAACCCCACCTGCACCATGGTAGCCCCCATAGGTACCCCTCACTAACCCCAGGGGCTCAAGGTTGCAGCCCTCCAACACCCAGACTGGAAGGATCCTGCCAGGACTTCCAGTCAGGGCTGCAGAATTCCACCAACCTCCCTCCTCCTCCAGCTGACCAGAACCACAAACCTTCCCAATGACCCCAAGGAATTTCCCCGCAAAGTTACCTGGATCTGGCTCATGGTCCCTCAGCTAGGGCTGCAGACACGCACTGGCCCCTGATTACAGCCCAACTAGCAGGGCAGCTCCCCCTAACACACAAGACAGAACACCACTCGTGGACCCCAATTTGGGCAACAGGCCGCTAGGACCCACCGCTAGGACCCATGCCCAACAGGCCAGCAGACCACCCCAAATCCCAATATGTCTTACAACTCCCACCATCCACCCTAAGGCAGCACACATCCCACCCACACCTTCCTGATCCCAATTTGGAAAGCAAATTCTCGAGGCCCCCAGGCCTATGCTGCAAGCCACCAAAAATGTGCTGGAGCCCCATACAAACCCCTATCTGAGGCCACAGGAATCCACTGGCCTCAGGAATCCACTGGGCTAGAGTATCTGTTTTTTGCAAAAGCCAGAAGCAGGACCACTGAGAGTGCCCACTTTAACAGAAGACCCAGTCACAACCCTGCCCAAAGGCCCCCTTCCACACGCTATGACTGTAAACCACTCCTGACAGTATCCCCAAACCCCCAAGTGACAGGACAGACACCCAGTGTAATCTTCTGACTCTAAGCGGGAGATCTCAAGGATTGCTGGCTGTAGCCTCCTATCCTCCAATCTACCCTATAACTTCCACCTCTCCCCACCTCTGATCCAAGTTGCAGCCCCTCCCCAGTCCTACCCCTAATCTGGGCTGTAATCCCTGTCACCTTTCCCTTCTGGCCCCAGACTACAACTTCCAACTTCAACTTGAACATCCAAGCCACATCTCCTAACCCACTATTCTGAACCATTGATTCCCACAGTCAGAACTGCAGATAACCCCACCCTCTCATCCCTGAGCAGGCCCCATTTGGTTCCCCCACTACCCCCTGGGCTATAATCATCTCTGCCCACACACATCCAAGTCTCTGCTCCTCATGCCTCCCAACGCTGTCTTCCTCCAGGTCTCCTACGACGTCAGTGGCTTCTGTGAGAGAAACAGAGATGTTCTCTTCTCGGATCTTATAGAACTGATGCAGACTAGTGAGCAGTGAGTGGTCCCAGGCATACAGAATGCCTCCACCATGGGGATGGAGGGAGGATTGGTGACCACTCCATCTTCCCTGGAGTTTCCATCATGCCAGAGACTGTGGGGGTAACTGGCAGACAAGACCTGGTTCTGATCTAAAACTAACTCCAGAGACTGGGGTTGTATAGCTCAATGGAAGAGTGCTTACCTAACATGCAGGAGGCCCTGGGTTCCATCCCCAGCACGCACAAGTGAATCCTGCTCTCCTAGCCCCCAGGATTCCTCCCCAGAGGAAACCCTTGGGATCATTTTCTTACATCTCCATCCAGAACTCTTCCCTGCAAATCCAAGTGTACGTTGATTGGACAGCTGCCTTTCTGGTACAGTGAAAATGCATTACACTTTGCATTTCCCTGTATGAATACACATAGTTCACCCACTGACCATTTGCCTTTTGTTTTTTGTCTGGCACTATTGGTTGTTTGAAGTCAGGGCCTCACTCTTGCTAGACAGGTGCTCTACCATTTAAGCCATACCCCATCCCTTTTTACTTTAGTTTACTTTTCAGAGCAGTTCACCTGTTTTACCAGGGACCAGTCTTGACTTCAATCATTCTACTTACTCTTACTGCATAGCTGGAATAACAAGTATGCACCACCACACCCAGCTTTTTTTTGAGATGGGGTCTTGTGAACTTTTTGCCCAGGCTGGCTTGGGCAAATCTCCACCTCTGGAGTAGCTGGGATTTCAGAAGAAAGGGGGAGGTTTAAAGGCAGAAAAGTTTAAAGGAGAAATGCAGGAAAGGTACTTGAATACAGAGTACATTGTTCTTGCAAACCCAAAATAGGAATTGGTGTCAGCTCATTTGTCGAGGTGCCATTGCTGGGCAAATGTTCTGTCCAGAGCATCCATCTGAATTATGCAGTCTTACAAAATGCTAAAGATGAATTTTGTTACACAAATCTCTGCTTATGTCTGAGGTGTGCAAAGAATGGGATGCTTGTAAAACAAGGGGGTGGGGGCAGTCTCTTTTGAGCCTTTAGAAAGTCCTTTGGAGAAGGCAGGAACAGTGGTTCATGCCTGTCATCCCAGCTACGTGGAAGGCTGAGATCAGGATAGAGGTGCAGGCCTGTCCAGGCCAAAAGTGAGACCCTATGTCAAAAAATAACCAGAGCAAAAAGGACTAGAGGTGTGGTTCAAGGAGTAACCACTTGCCTAGCAAGAGTGAAGCCCTGAGTTCAAACTTCAGTCCCACAAAAAAAAAAGTCCTTGGGAATGTACTTGTCTCAGACAGACAGGCAGTAGCCCTCTCCCTCCATAATGTCCCAGCTCTGATTTTGTGGTCTAACAAGAAAGACTTCATCTTCACAGCATCAGCTTTCATAATCTCATCAAATATAAGAAGATAGTGGTCTATGTTTGAAACATGGTTCTTAGACCAGCAACATAAGCATCCTCTGAACACGTCACAAATGCAGAATCTGAGGCTCCCCTCCTGAAGGACTGAGTCAGAATCTGCATTTTAACAAGAGTCCCTCCACACCACCCAGGGATCCACATTAGAGTTTGAGAGCCGTTAGCCTACACCAGGCTGTGCAACATAATCCATATCCAATATCTTCCAAGTCACATGTGTAATTATTTTAGCACAGCCTTATTGAAGTACAATTTCCACACTATCATATTCAGCCATTTTATAAAGTATAGAATTTAATGTTTTTTAGCAAGATGGCAGATTAGTGCTACCATCACCACAATCCAACTTTGGAACATTTGTATCACCCTCAAAAGATCTCTTGTGACAACTTGCAGCCAATCCTCCCACCTGTATAGTTTTAAATTTCCAGTGAGCATGCTGGTACACACCTGTAATCCCAGCACTCAGGAGGCTGAGGCAGGAGGATTGTGAGTTTGAGGCCAGCCTGCACTACATAGTGAGATCCTATCTTAAAAAAAAATTCTAGCAAGCATACTAAAAAAGTGAAGATGTAAACAGATGAAACAGGTAAACATGTCAATGTTCTACTTAATACAGTATGCTCAAAATATTATAATTTCAACATGCAATCAATGTAACAAATTATCAATGAAATTATTTACATTTTCTTATTCCATACTGTGTACTCTTTGGAATCCAAAGCATAATTTAATGCTTACAGAACATCTCAGTTATGGACAGGCCACGTTTCAAGAGCCTCAAAAGTCACATGTAACCAAAAGCAGCAATACTAGAAAGCCAGTGACTGCCATGTTGAAAAGCCAGTGGCCGCCATATTGGAAAGTAAGGACCACTATATTGGAAAGTCCAGTGGCTGCTATATTGGAAAGCACAGGACTAGAGCCCTAATTCTCAAAACTTGGGTCTCTGGACTGGCAGCATCAGCATTACCTGGGAATTTGTTGGAAATCATTGAGCCACAACTCAGACCTGTGGATGAGAAACTCAGACTGTGTGGCCCAGCAATGTGTGTTTTGACAAACTCTCCTGATGATTCTGATACCTGCTGAAGTCTAAGAACAACTGGCAAAAGAGTTTTGAAAGAAAACTCAGAGTAGGGAGAACATCCATTCATTTTATTTTAACTGTGGTAAAACACACATAACAAAATCTTCTTTTTCACCAATTAACATGTAAATTCAGTAGCATTAAACACATTCACACACAATGCCGTGCAACCATCACCACTATCTAGTTCTAGAATGTTTTCATCATCCCAAAGAGAAATCCCACATCCATTAAGCATCCCTCTCATTTTCTCTTAGGAACTCAGGGAAAGTCTTACTAAGATGAGGAAGAGAACCAATAACAGACCAAAAGCTTATTTAACCAATAGCCAGTGGATGGACACTTAGGGCGTTTCCCATCTTTGGCTATCATCAGCAGGGATTCAACACAAGCATGTTTGTACGTATTTCTTTGCATACGCATGCAAGAATGTAGATGTGTGATGGTTTTAGGGGGCCTGCCCCTGTGGAAGGTGCTTTGCCAATTGATATATTTTACTAATTAATTTAACTTGTTCCACTTTACTTGCTACCCAAGTCATACAAGATCATGAAGGAGGACTAAAAACTGCAGACAAATCAAGATAATGACAACACCAATCCTCCGCATCTCACCCATCGCAGCCCTGACACCACCACATTCAGAGAGAACCATGTTTTGCGTCATGGCACCAAGGCAGCCCCATCTCTGGGTAGGATGCTTTAGCGTCCAGCTGCACCTCCACCTCCTTCTCTGTCCTGCCCAGGGCCTTCCTCCGGATGCTCTTTCCTGAGAAGCTGGATGTAGATAAGAAGGGCCGCCCCAGCACCGCTGGCTCCAAGATCAAGGTGGGCCTGAGGCAGGCAAGGGGGAATTGGGTATGGGAAGGGCTGGGTTCCACCCTGTCCAGTCTCCAGACTGTTTCTTTCCTTCTAATATCTTTTTGCCTCCCATCCCTGAGCCATCTGCCTCTGTCTGTCTGTGGCACCCTCCAGTCAGCAGGGTCTTCTTCCAGCTCTGGGTCCAGGAAGCTTGGATCAGCTTCCTTAGCCATTGCCACATATCTTTCTTTCTTTCTCTCTCTTCCTTCCTTCCTTTCTCTCTCTCTCTCTCCTCTTTCCCTCCCTCCCTTCCTCCCTTCCTTCTTTCCTTTTCTCTTTTTCTTTGCAAGTCCTGGGGATTGAACTCAGGGCCTCTCACATGCTAAGCCTGCACTCTGCTGCTGCACTTCACCCCCATCCCACTATTTTTTAATATATAAAATACATGTCACATAAAGCTGGCTATCTTTCCCTTGTTAAGTATGCAGCTCAGTGGCATTAAGCACATTCACACTGTTGTACAAGCATCCCCACTATCCGTCTCCAGAACTTTCTCATCTTCCCAAACTGAAGCTCTGTCCTGATGAAATGATAATCCCCCTCCCCTCACCATTCTCTTTCTGTCCATATGAACGTGGTCACACTAGGCTCCCATGAGTGCATACATATAGTATTTGTCTTTTTGTGTCTGTCTGATTTCAATAAGCATGTCTTCAAGGTTCATCCACATTGCAGCATGCGTCAGTATTTCCTTCCTTTCGTGGCTGAATAATATTCCATTTCGTGGATGGACCACACTGTGTTTATCTATTCATTCATTGAGCACTTGGGCTGCTTTCATATTTTAGTTGTAGAGAATAATGCTGCAATGAACATGGGGTCCCATCTTATATTAACAACCATTCAGTGAGCACTTACTCTGTGTAGGTAGCAAACATGGAACATTTATACACACAAGGAACTGTCTCAGGCCCCTCTAGTAGATGGGGAGACCAGGGCTCAGAGAGGGGCAGCCACTTGCCAGTGCCACACACAGCAGAACCTGAGTTTTTCGTGCTGCTTCCCCTCATTCCCTAGGATTTCCTTTCTAGTCCTGTGCCTTTCCTCAAGTGACTAAAATGCATAACCCAAAGCTGACTTCTCATGCACACACACACACACAATTCCCTACTTCCAATGTCACTATCCCCCTGAAGGACAGGCAGAAATATTCTAGACAATGTGTTCTCTTGATTGTTCTGTTACTCAGTCAACAAACATCTCCTAGCACTTACTATATGCCAAGTTATGTTGTAGACATGGTAGACACAAGAGCTCCTAGTCTTGGAATTTGAGAGTTGGGTAGATACACAACATCAGTGCACATGGAGGACACTAGTGGAGATGTGCTCACCTGTGGTTTATTAGGTACACTGCTTCTTGCCCCATGTTTCTATTTCTTGGGTGGAGAGAAAAGACAGGCCAGAGAGGACACTGGCCTCACCCTGCCATTCCCTCTGTCTCAGAAACAAGCCAATGACCTGGTGGCCACACTGAAGAGGTGCACACCCCACTACATCCGCTGCATCAAACCCAATGAGACCAAGCGACCCCGAGACTGGGAAGAGAGCAGGTGACACCCTGCTGGCCAGGTCTGGCCACTGATTGGACCAATCCATGCCACCTGACCCACAGACTGACCCCCAACTCTAGGATCCATTCCAGACAGGCCCCTAACACAAGCTTAAAACCCCTCCAGAGTTAGAGCAAGAATTGAGCAAGACACTTCTGACCCCAGAGGTGACTCCAGACTGACTCTGGGATTGTCCAGGGATTTGCACATCACCCTTCTCCAATTCCCCAGACCCTGACTCCAGAATCAACTCCTAAACCAACCACCAGGATGTGCCCAGATCCCTTCCCAAACCCTCTTGCCCCACCTCACTTCTAGGCTGAACCCTGAACACCCTCCCCAACCAACCTCAGAACTCATCCTCTAAACTGCCCCCAGCACAGATGCAGACCCCCAGACTCCTGTTCTGCCATTTCCACCCCTTGGGGACTCAGGCCACCTTCCCAACAGGGTCAAACACCAGGTGGAATACCTGGGCCTCAGGGAGAACATCCGCGTGCGCAGAGCTGGCTTCGCCTACCGCCGCCAGTTCTCAAAGTTCCTGCAGAGGTGAGGCACCCAGCTCCCCTCGGCCCCCCATGAGAACAGCCAGCCAGTCCCATGTGCCTCAAATCCCTCATATGTCCCCCCTCTGCCTTCCAGGTATGCCATTCTGACCCCCGAGACATGGCCACGGTGGCGTGGGGACGAACGCCAGGGCGTCCAGCACCTGCTTCGGGCAGTCAATATGGAACCAGACCAGTACCAGATGGGGAGCACCAAGGTCTTTGTCAAGAACCCAGAGTCGGTAAGTGGGTATGAGGGAGTGAGAAAGAGAGGGTAGAGAAACACTGAGAGAGAAACTGAGAAACATCGAGAGACTGAGATTGAGTTTGGAGGTGTAGTTCAGGTTGGGGTGTACATCAGTGGCAGAGCACTTCCTACCTACCATGCATGAGGCACTAGGTTCCGTCCCCAACACAAAGAGGGGAGGGAGAGGGGAATGAATAAATGAGATTGAAAGACTGAGAAAGATATTGACAGAGATTAAGAGATACATAGAGGAAAAAACCGGGGGTGATAGCACAAGCACATAATGCCAGCACTTGGAAGGCTTAGGCAGGAGGATGGAGAGTTTGAGGCCAGCCTGGGCTACATAGTGAGACCCTGTCTCACAAAGAGGAGAGTTTTAGAGAGAGGTTGACAGAAAAAGAGAAGTGGAATGTGGTGGTACACATCTTTAATCCCAGCTATCTGAGGCAGGAGGATCTCGAGTTCAAACCCAGCCTTTGTAAAAGGTATTGAGATCCTGTCTCAAAAACAAAAGCAAAGTCAAGATGCGGGCTAGGAGGGTGGGGCTCAGTAGTAGAGTTCTTTTCTAGCATGTGCAAGGCCCTGCGTTCAATCTCAAGTATGATAGGGAGAGACGGAGGGAGAGGAAGAGGGAGAGCAGCCTGTGATGTGACCTCAGGCCCTTCAGGCTACCTTGTGACCTTGGATAGACATACTCACCTTCTATATAGCCCATATAGGGTGGCTCTTACTTCCCCCAATTTCTGAAGTGGGGGAAGTAAGAGCCACCCTATATGGAATTGGGGGAAGTAATAGCCACCCTATATGGGCTAGGGTAAGGATCACACAAAACATGAGCTGCTACCTGGTATATATATGGTGCTCGGGGGAAAAAAATTACACTTGCTGGACAGTTCTTGGTGGTCAGGAGGAACAACATGTCACAGTTTGTGGTGACCAACCCCTTGGGAAAAATGAGGGGCTGTCACTTATCCACAAAAATCCTGTTTTTCCTTCTCTTTACTTCTTCCTTTGTGCCATCCGTTTTCTTCTCTCCCTGTCATGTGTTTTGAGACAATGTGTTGCTATATAGCCCAGACTGGCCTTGAACTTGTGATTCTCCTGTCTCAACCTCTTGAGTACTAGGATTATAGCTATGTACCATCAGGCCTAGCTGTCTCTCTTCCTTTGCCATACTGGAGATAGAACTCAGGGCCTCACACATGCTAGGCAAGTGCTGTATCACTGATCCACACCCTAGTCCTCTAGTCCTTTCTCTTTTTCTTTTCTTTCATTTTGGTCTTTCTTTCCTTCTTCCTTTTTTTTTTTTTGGTGGTGGTACAGGAGTTTGAACTCAAGGTTTCATGCTTTGCTAGGCAAGCACTCTACCAATTGAACTCTACCACTTGAGCCATTTCACCAGCCCTTTTTTGCATTGAGTATTTTTCAAGATAGGGTCTCAAGAACTATTTGCCCAGGCTGACTTCAAATCGCAATCTTCCTGATCTCTGCCTCCCAAGTAGCTGGGATTACAGATGTGAACCACTGGCACGTGGCCATTTAATTTCCTTTTTTTCCTCTTCCCCTCCCTCCTTTCCTATCTTCTCCTTCTTTTCTTTATTCATAAGTACATTGAGTTTCTTGGCCTTGAGATTAATGTCAAAGCAGGATTTTTTTTTTTTCAATGCTGAGGATCAAGCCCAGGGCCTTACACATGAGAGGAAAGGGCTCTACCACTGAGCTATATCCCCAGCTCTCTCTCTCTCTCTCTCTCTCTCTCTCTCTCTCTCTGATGGTACTAGGGTTTACACTCAGAGTCTAGCGCTTGCTAGGCAGGCACTCTACACTGGAGTCATACACCCCAGCTTCAAGGTAGGTATTTTCTTATTGCAGAACCTGCCTTGAGCAGGTGCAACCCTGCTCACACCCTCAATGTAGAGATAACCCCTAAGGAGTGCTATGATCAGCACTTAGCCTCTTAACCCAAAGTTGAAAGTCACATCTACTTGTAGCTGTTGCTTTCAATAAACAAAGGGACAATGACAAGAACAAAAAATTGGAACAGGGAATCCCCTAAGAACCTGCCTGGCTGCCCTGTGCTGCCACCTTGGACTCCCAGGTTCCTGCAGCCTGGGACAAGCTGGTGCACTGGGGAAGGTATGCAGGGGTGGGAGCCAGACTGAAGGCCCAGCCAGTTGCCTGTCATATGCATAATGGTGGCACTGTTCTAATCACACCAGAGGTGGACTTTATGAAGACAATCAGATTGTCCAGCTGATTCCTCTTATGTTACTGTAACTTAAAAGTAGCTATTCACCAGGCGCTGGTGGCTCATGCCTATAATCCTAGCTGCCAGGAGGCACAGATCAGCAGGATTACAGTTCGAAGCCAGCCTGGGCTAATAGTTCACAAGATTCTATCTCAAAAATCCCCAACACAAAACAGGGCTGGTGGAGGGTGGCTCAAGCAGTAAAAGCACCTGCCTAGCAAGTGTGAGGCCCTGAGTTCAACCCAGTGCCACCAAAATAAATAAATAAAAATGAAAGTAGCTATCCTCATGTTGAGGGTGTGACTCAGTGGTAGAATGCTTGCCTAGCCTGTGTGAGGTTCATCTGCAGCACCAAAAAGAAAACAAAAGTATGTATTAGAGGGGTACCAGTGGCTCATGGCAGACCAAAAAATTAATACAGAACAAGAAAAAATAGGTAAAACAAAATCAGCTCTGTCAAAGACTATATAATATAAAGGAAAATTAAATTCTGGACCCAGGCCTGGTGATGCACACTGTAATCTCAGCACTAAGGAGGCTGGGGCAGGAAGATTGTGATGTGAGTTCCAGGGCAGCCTGAGTTACATACCAAGGGAAGGAAAGGGAAGGGGGAAAAGAAAGGGAAGGGAGAAAAAGAGAGATGGGAAGAAAAGAGAAAGAGAAGGCGAGGGAGGGAGGAACAAAGAGAAAGAAAAAGAACGAGAGAGAAAAGAGAAAGGAAGAGGAAAGAAGGAAGGAAGGAAGGAAAGAAGGAAGGAAGAAAAAGAAAGATCAAGTTGTGACAAAAATTTTAGCATGCAGATTTTGATTTGGGGAAGACTGGGTAGGAATAATGAACTCAGAATGACAGAAGTTTGGTGGTCAATTTTTATAGGGACAGAAGACTGAATATTTATACAGGAAAAAACTAACTCAGGTGAAAACAATTTTAGTAAAATGAGAATAGAAAAACACGGTGGGGGGGAGACAAAAAAGGGGGAGAGAAATGTGGAAAGTTTGTGCCATATAAATCGAGGAATTAAATTAGCTTAATGGAGTTGGAGACTTTCTCACCTAAAAATGCACTTGTGTTGGGACAAAACTGAGTTGATGTGTGTGTGGATGTGGATGTGTGTGTGTGTGTGTGCACACATGTGTGTTACTGGAGATTGAACCCAGGGCCTCACTCGTGCTAAGCCCACCTCTCTACCACTAAGCTATACCCTAAGCCCTTGATTTGAATTTTATTCCTTTTAAATAAACGCAGAACATCCTTGGAACATCTTACCTGCCCTTGGCATTTTTTGCCAATGTCCAAGGTTACCAGCACTGCTACAACAAAGAACCACAAACTAGATATCACAGCATAGATTTATTGTCACAGGTCTGGAGGCCTTGACTGTGAAATTAAGGTGTCAGCAGGGCCATGCTCCCTCTGGAGGCCCTAAGGAAGAACGCTTTGTGCCTCCCCTAAATTCAGGTGGTTGCCAGCAATCTTTGATGCTTCTGGCTTATAGACGCATCCCTTCAATCTCTGCCTTCTTTCCTTGTATCCCTCTATCTCTGGTGATACTGAGGTTTGAACTCAGGGTCTAGCACCTGTTAGGCAAGCACTCTGCCACTTGAGCCAAGCCCCCTTTTGCTTTTTAGGTAATTTTTTTTAGATAGGGTTTCACACTTTTGCCCAGACTGTGATCTTCTTACCTAAGGCACCCACTTAGCTGGGATTACAGATGCATACCAGCACACCTGATTTATTGATTAAGATGGGGTCTTGCTAACTTTTTGCCCAGGCTGTGATTCTCCTGAGCTCCACCTCCCAAGTAGCTGGGATTCCAGACCAGAGCCACCACATCGGGCCCAGGATGATCTATTTTAACTTGATGACATTGCACAGACTCCATTTCTGAATAAGTTTACATTCATTCATTCAGATTCTAAGTGGGCTTGAATTTGGGGGGATTTTTTTTTTTTTTTGCTAGGCAGGCACACTACTACTTGAGCTACTTCACCAGTCCTTTTTTGTGTTGGGTATTTTCAAGATAGGGTCTCATGAACTATCTGCTCAGGGCTGTCTTTGAACCACAATCCTGCTGATCTCTGCCTCCTGAGTAACTAGAGTTAGGTGTGAGCCACCAGCACCCGGCTTGAAGGGAACATTCTTTAGCCCACTACAGCAAACCAAGCTCAGATTTCATTAGGTCTCTTGCCCTTTAACATTAGACATTTTAAGATTTTAAACCTACTTGCATAAATAACAAGGTTAGGGAGAGAAGGGAGGGAGGGAGGGAAAGGCTGGAGGTGCTGTGAACAGCTAAAGGTGAGGAAGGTGGTCCCAGGTTGACTGGCCCACCCCAGTTCTGCATGGCTGGTCTCCCTTCCCCATCCCCCTCAGCAAACCACAGAACACACCAGGCCTTGCACACAAGGCCACACGACTATAGAGTATTGGTCTAAGAAACAAAAGCAGATGCAAACTCTTTGCAGCAGGGCTCTTAGCAGCAATGTAATATTTAGGTATGTGACAAATTCCTCTGGGTGAAGAGTGCTAGTTATTTTTTAAATAAAGCCCAAATTTTAATTTTCTATATTTCCCATCATTGCTGATTAATGACACTATCCTTTTTATTACTAAATTTCTATTTGAATTTGTATGTTTTCCAGGCATCAGCCTTATTCCAATCGATTGTTCTATTCTGTGACCAGCACACCACTGTTTTTAGGCTGGTCTGGAACTTGCTCTGTTCCTCTGTTCCTCAGGCTGGCCTCCATCTCACAGTCCTCCTGCATCCTACCTCCTAAGCAGCTTAGATTACAGGAATGAAACACCATACCTAGCTATAATATTTTATATCTGTTTGCTTTTGAGAGAGGGTCTCGCTATGTAACCCAGGCTGCCCTCAAACTTGTAATCCTCCTGCCTCATTGTCCAAAGGACTGGGATTATAGGTAAGAACCACCATGTCCAGCTTCCTGGCTATTAGATTTTAATGTTCAGTTGGACGTTGGTGGCTCACACCTGTATCCTAGCTACTTGGGAGGCTGAAATCTCAAGGATTACAGTTCAAGGCCAGCCCAGGGACATAGTTCACAAGACTCCATCTCTAAAATAAGCACAGCACAATGAACTAGAGGTGTGGCTCAAGAGGGCCTGCTTTGCAAGTGTGAAGCCCTGAGTTCAAACCCCATTCCCACCAAAATAAAACTATAATGTTCAGTTACTTCCTTTCCTTGGTATGTCCACCTGTCGTTATTCCGAACAAGCAGAAATTCCTCACAAAGTTTCTGACTTACTATAATATAGTTTATTCTCTAAGTTCCTCTGGGATAGAATCTTGCAACTCAAAAGACTTTTGTCAGCTTTTGGCAAGTTCCCTTTCCGGGCTGACATGCACCACTGCTCAGATTTTATACTGCACAGCCGCATGATGGCCAGAACAGGACAGCCCTACATACATTTGCACACTTACTTTATCTTGTTGGTTTTCTAAGATGTGCAGTGGCTCCATTGACCCTATGTGAAGCTGGGGTACACTTGGTGTACATTAACTTCATTAGTGATGTGAGAAACTGTGATGTCATAGCATCTCTGGCAAGGCCACATGGCAAGTGACAGAGCTGGGATTTGAAGTCAACAAGACAAACCCAGTTATAATTTAAGGCAGAAGTGTGAGCCCCATATTGGAAGGAACCCTGGGTTTAATCGTCTGGAGGAAGAAAACCTTTGACCCCAGCCGGGTGCTGGTGGCTCACGCCTGTAATCCTAGCTACTCAGGAGGCAGAGATCAGGAGGATCGTGGATCAAGCCAGCCTGGGCAAATAGTTCAAGAGACTTTATCTCGGAAATGCCCAACACAAAACAGGGCTGGTAGAGTGGCTCAAGTGGTAGAGCACCTGGCTAGCAAGATGAAGCCCTGAGTTCAAACACCAGTACTGCTCAAAACAAAAATTGACCACAGAGTATGTGTTTGGGTATGTGGGGTGGAGAGGACTGAGGGAAACCAGAGAATGCAGTCTTTGGGAAGACACCAGGACTGACCACCCCACCCTCCTGCCCAGCTTTTCCTGCTGGAGGAGATGCGAGAGCGGAAGTTTGATGGCTTTGCCCGCACCATCCAGAAGGCCTGGCGTCGCCACATAGCAGTCCGGAAATATGAGGAGATGCGGGAGGAAGGTGAGAGGCTTCGGATGGGAGGCTTGGGGTGAGCGCAGATGGACAGAAGACTAGGCCATGACCTTTACTCTAGACCCTGTGTCCTCACAGCTTCCAACATCCTGCTCAACAAGAAGGAACGGAGACGGAACAGCATCAACCGAAACTTTGTGGGGGACTACCTGGGGCTGGAGGAATGCCCAGAGCTGCGCCAGTTCCTAGCCAAGAGGGAGCGTGTGGATTTTGCCGACTCAGTCACCAAGTATGACCGCCGCTTCAAGGTGAGGCACGAGCAGTGGGCACATCTGAGACCATCTCCAGCCTAGCACACGAACCAGAGGTACCCCCCTACCTGGCCAAGACACACCTGTCCACAGGTATATATTTTCCTAGCCTCCATACAGGTACACCCTCACCTGGTCCGGATGCACCTGCCCAGTTATACACTCCACATGATAGATACAGCTATATATCGAACATGCCCTCATACAGCCCAGACACACCTGACATCAGGTACACCCTCACCTGACCAGATATACCTGTCTGTAATTACACATTCACCTTGCCAGAAGCACACACCAGAGGATATCCTGGACATATCTATCCATCAGCCTCACCCAGCATCGACACACCTGTTCATTAAATACACATTTACCTGGCCCACATACACCTGTCCACAGGTTCACTCTCACCAGACCCAGGGAGCCTAATCCACATGCCCAACTGGCCCAAACAGCCCTCACCAGATTTGTGCTCTCAACCTGGTCTAGGTATTTTTGTCCACCTGACTGAGACACTCTCACTTAGCCTAAGCACCTTCACCACAGACATATCCTCTCCAAGCCCAGATAGCCCTGAACGCAGGTGAACTCTAGTCACTTGTCCTGGACACTCCTACCCACAGGTATGTCTTCACCTAGACCAAACATTCCCATCTACCAGGTACAACTCACCTGACTCACCTACCCAGAAACTTACCTTGCCCCTACTGTAGAAAGCTCTATGTGGCAAGCATACTTGCAGATAACCTATATGTGTTTGCTGGGACACCCCACCTGCCTTGGCCAAGTTCTTGTGCAGATATATCTCACCTGATCTGTACAACTTACACTCTTACAGTCCAGACATCTTGACCAGGCTTGGGTATCTTCACCTGACCCATACACTTTCACTTGCTAGGACAGGTCTGTGTGGCAGGTAGACCCTCTCAGCTGGTCCATCACCATTCCTGAGAGTTTCACCTAGGCAGATATCCCCAGACAACACCCTTCCACCAGGTACATCCTCACCTGCCTTCCTGTATAAACTTATATGCTTCATACACATCTGCCCCTATTCATGTGCATGACTCTTTTTTTTTTTTTTTTGGCACTGGGTTTTGCACTTGGAGCCTCACACTTGCCAGGCAGATGCTCTGGCCCTTTTTTTGTGATTTTTTTTTTTGAGATAGGGTCTCTCAAATTTGCCCAGGGTTGGCTTCCAACTGTGATCCTCCTGATCTCTGCCTCCTGAGTAGCTAGGATTACAGGTGTGAGTCACTGGTGTCAGGCACTCATGACTTTTTGTTTTGATTGAGACAGGGTCTCACTATATAGCCTAAGCTGACCTAGCACTCACAATCTTTTTGCCTCAGCCACCAACAGCTGGGATTATTGGCGTGTATAATCACACCCAGCCTGTGACCCATCTACTCTTATCTAGCTACCTGACTTGTATACCCTCATTTGAACCATATGTTTACATGAGCTGGGCTGAGGGTGTAGCTCAGTGTTTAGCTTACAAGGAAGTCCTGGATTCCATCCCCAGCACCAAAAAAAAAAAAAAAACCCTTTGGGAATAGATGCCCCCACCCAACTGACTGGAGTGTGTCTCAATGGTACAGCACATACTTGGTATTTGCAAGGCCCTGAGTTCAGTCCCCAGCACTGCAAACACACACACACACACACACACACACACACACACACGAGGTGACTATAGTCACATGATCCTGGTCCAAGAGTTAGGCACCTGTATCAAGCAGGTGCTTCACCTGTTCACTGCTCTAGATACCCTCACTTTACTTCCTTCTATTTCTTTAATTGTTTTTTCTCCTTTGGTGGAACTGGGTTTGAACTCAGGGCTTCATGTTTTCCTTCTATTTCTTATACAACTTAACAACTCATGTACCTTCACCTGGAGGGACTTCCCCCCCCCCATTCTGACCTTCTCCTGACCTGCCAGCTCCACCCCTGTGCTAGGGTTGCTCCTCCAGAGCCAAACTCCTCATGCCCTGGGCTCTATCTGCCAGCCTCTGGTTCTGCATCTCCACAGCCCATCAAGCGGGACTTGATCCTGACACCTAAGTGTGTGTATGTGATTGGGCGAGAGAAAGTGAAGAAGGGACCTGAGAAGGGCCAGGTGCGTGAAGTCTTGAAGAAGAAGCTGGACATACAGGCCCTGCGAGGGATCTCCCTCAGGTAAGGTTCCCCCACCTGCCCCACAGTGACCCTCACATGCTCCCTTGTGATCCTTAGCTGCCCCCATACTTATTACCCAACCTGTTACCATGATCATTTTTTTAAATTAGGGTATAATCATTGTACAAGGGGGATTCATTGTGACAATTCCAATTAGGGTTATATTGTACATTGGTTAGATCACTCCCTCTCAAACCCTCCCCGCTTAAAGCAATTGCAAGAGGTTTCCTTGTTCTATTTCATATAAATACATGAAGTCTATCAACCATATACTCTCACCTTAATCTCCTTCATTCACCCTCCCCCTCCCACAAGTACCCCCACACACTGTACTTATTTTACAGTCCTTTCTTTTATTAATATTTAAGCTGATGTTCAAAGGGATTTCTCAGTGTGTCCCTACTGTAAATCTACTTTACTTTGGTTTGTTCATCCTCTTCCATTGTTCTCCCTTCCCCTTTTACCTACCATTCCCTATTTTTCAACAGCTTTCAATGCATATCCTTTTATCCTCTACCTGCACAGATCTTATGTTTTAAACTATTACCGATGCTCTGTCATTCTCTATTCCTTTCCCTCCTTCCCCGAGTTCCATAGAGTACCTCCACTGTACAAACATGTTCTACATCTGAGTTTGTACATGATTGTGTTTGCTTTTGTGTATGTTTATCACCATGTTCGTCTTACTTGCAGCTACACCTGTAGCCTTCGCTTGACCCTACCTGCCACGTTTACCTGCTCGGACATTCATGATCCTTTCTCAACAGCTTCTGTCGCTGTGCCTTACTCTCTTGCTAGACTTCACCTGACCCTCAATTATCACCTTTTCCTGATCTTTTTTCTTTTTTTCTCACCTGCTCCTACCTGACCCTGCCCTGTTAGATCCCACAAGTCAGTTCTTCCACTAGCCTCACCTGTCTTTCTCCCGCCTTTCCCCAGCACACGACAGGACGACTTCTTCATCCTCCAAGAGGACACTGCGGACAGCTTCCTGGAGAGTATCTTCAAGACCGAGTTCCTCAGCCTTCTGTGCAAGCGCTTTGAAGAGGTGGCACGGAGGCCCCTGCCCCTCACCTTCAGCGACACGTATGCTCCACACACACACATCCCAGCACCATCCTTTGGCTGGCCTGGGCACAGAGCTTTTCTCCTGCTTTGCCCACTCCCCCATCCCTGCGAAGGTAGGGTGGGAAAAGGAACCCGAGCTGGTGCCCTCAAGCCTCCTTCTTTCTCACAGACTACAGTTCCGAGTGAAGAAGGAGGGCTGGGGCGGAGGCGGCACCCGCAGTGTCACCTTCTCCCGTGGCTCCAGCGACCTGGCGGTGCTCAAAGCTAGTGGCCGGACCCTGACTGTCAGCGTGGGTGACGGATTGCCTAAGAGCTCCAGTGAGTCCGCGGGGAGCCGAGGGCGGAGCCAAAGAGGGACGTCTACTCTGGAAGAGGCGGGCCCTGTAAAAGGCGGGGCCAACAAGGGGACCAATCAAGACTGCGGGGGCGGAGCCAGTGAGGCTGCTCAAGAATGGACGAGGGTCACGTAGGGGTGGGTCCAGAGACAAAGAGGGCAAGGCCTTAGAGAAGTGACCAATAAGTGGGAAGCGTGGAAGGGCATGGCACCCTAAAACTGGCAACTGATAGGGGCATGATCTATCCGAGTGGGTGGACCCAAAGACTGAGGGCCTATCAGGGGTGGGGCCTCGAGGGGCGGAGCCAATCACTAGGCGTTCCCAATGAATAACTAGGGAGTGGTGCTGGTGGGAGAGCCAATGAGTCTGAGGGGTGCGGTCTGGAGACAGAGCCACAGAGAGCTGGCCACCAATAAAATCCCTGCCTTCTTTTCCTTTCCAGAGCCCACGAGGAAGGGAATAGCCCAAGGAAGACCCAGAAGGTCAGCCCCAGCTCCTACCAGGGCAGCACCTGGGCCCCCCAGAGGTGAGGAGGTACCCCTTAGTGCCTCCCTTTGCCTCTTGTGAACTTCGTGGCCTAAACCAGACCTACTGTCGATGGAAATTTTTTTTATTCATTTCTTGAATTTGAAGTACTCTTCAATGGTATTCTTGGCCTGAGGTTCTTTGCCAAGTCCTTAACCACCATCCAACTGCAACCAACCACTTTACGGGTGAATTTTACAGAGGCCTACCCATTCCCCTGGTTTCTTGTTGTCATCAAGCCTTAATGAGGTTGATTTGGTGCTCGGCACAAAGGGCCTCCACCGACTCTGTCTGTCACTGGAATTTAATAAGCTCAGTGGCTTACTCCCTTCTCTGTCCAGAACTCCTTAGATATCCCCCATCTCCCACTGAACACCCTTCTAGATCCAACTGCAGCCAGCCACCGAACTTTTCTCCAACACTATACTCCCATTGTGCAAACTACATTTTATTTTGCCAGCTCACCAAATTTAATCTTACTTCCAGGCCTTTGCTTGGACTTTGTTTCTCTGCCTGCCTTCCAAATTCCTCCCCACTTGTTGAATTCATTCATCCTCCAAGCCCCACCCCCAAAAGCCTTCCTGGGGGGGGACAACTCCTTCCAAAGTCTTCCCCTAGGCTCTTCTATCTCCAGAGTCCCTTCCTTAGAGCCAATCCTTACCGCACTGGGTAGAAGCCAGTGCTCCTTAAATATTCCCATTCTTGCTTCCACCACAGGCCTGGAGCGAAATGGGGTGCCCCCTTCTGCCAGAGGAGGTCCCCTGCCCCTGGAGATCACATCTGAAAGGAGCTCCCAGAAGCCTCCCCGAGGCCCTCCATCCTCAACCCTGGGGGCCAGCAGACGTCCCCGGGCACAGCCACCCTCAGAGCACAACACAGAATTCCTCAACGTGCCTGACCAGGGAGTAGCAGGGTAGGTGGGGTGGGAGGGAAGCCCTAGGAGGCGGGCAGGGGATAGGGGGGTGTCTGGGGCTCTGATGAACAACTCCTGTCCTCACAGTATGCAGAGAAAGCGCAGTGTGGGACAGAGACCTGTGCCTGGCGTGGGCCGACCCAAGCCCCAACCACGGACACATGGCCCGAGGTGTCGGGCACTGTACCAATATGTAGGCCAAGACGTGGATGAGCTAAGCTTCAACGTGAATGAAGTCATCGAGATTCTCATGGAAGGTGTGTGTACCAGGGCAGAGGCTGAGGGTGGGGAGTGATCCACAGCCTGGCAGCCCTTCCATTACTGCACACCCTTGCATGCAGTAACAGAGGTGACCCAGTCACAGATCCACCAGAAGCACCTTCTCCCATGCCAGTGCCTGATAGGGTAGATAGCCTTGGGTCTGAAGGTCACCTCCTGAGCCATCCTAGGACCTTAGTGCATCACACTTGGTACCTGAGCCTCCTTCTCTGTTTTGTTTTGTTTTGTTTTTTGAGATAGAGTCTCACTATATAGCCCAGGCTGGCCTCAAACTCATGGTCTTCATGCCTTAGCCTCCCAAGTTCAGGGATTACAGTTATGTACCACCATGCCCCAGCTAAAACCTCATTTTTCTCCTTGTCAAGTATGTTAATTAAGAATTGATCTCCTAGGCACCTTATGAGTGGGAGGAAAGCTGAGTCTAGATGGCCTAGGCCACCTCCTACCTTCATCTCTTGGTCTGTCCCCATAAGAGCAGGGGACTCATCACACGTCAGAAGTGCCTCATGTGAATGTGAGAGCCTCATGGAGACCTGGTCATTTCTGGGTCCACCCTGGGGGCTGGGAGGAGAGACCCGTAGGAGATGGGTGAGAGAAGAACATAAGCAAATGGTGTATTAAGTGTCAGCGGGCTGGGGATGTAACTCGGTGGTAGAGCCCTTGCCCTTGCATGAGGGCCTGGGTTCCCACCCTAACACCACACCCACAAAAATTTTTTAAAAATTAAAAGGACAGTGTATGAACCAGGCTCTGGTGGCTCACGCCTGTAATCCTAACTACTTGGGAGGCTGAGATTGGGAGGATCATAGTTCAAAGCCAGCCTAGGCAAATAGTTCACAAGAACCCATCTCCAAAATAACCAGAGCAAAATGAACTGCAGGTGTGGCTCAAGCAGTAAAGCACCTTCTTTACAAATGCAAAGCCCTGAATTCAAACCCCAGTTCCACCCAAAAAAAAAAGAAAAGAAAAAAGACAGTGTGTGAGCTTGTGGTTGTCTCCTCTATCACTCCTTCCATCTGTTGACGACTATCTTCAGCCCCTGCCTTGACCCAAGTTAAGAAAATGGACAGCTGGGCGCCAGTGGCTCATGCCTGTAATCCTAGCTACTCATGAGAGGAGGATCACAGAGATCAGGAGGATCAAAGTTCAAATAGGTCATGAGACCCTATCTTGAAAAAACGCATCACAAAAAAAGGGCTGGCAGAGTGGCTAAAGGTGTAGGCCCTAAGTTCAAATTTCAGTATCAAGAAAAATTAAAAACAGAAAAGAAAGAAAGAAAATGGAGATACAAGGTAGAGTGCTTGCTTGCCCTGTACTCAAAAACCTTGAATTCAATCTCTAGTACCACAAAAAAAAAGAACGTGGAGATAGCCATATGTGTTGGTACACACCTGTGATCTCAGCACCAGGGAGGCTGAGGCAAGAGAATAGTGAGTTCAAGGACATCCTAGGCTATTTAGCAAGTTCCAGCTAATCTAGGATACATGGAGTGAGAGAGAGATAGTCTCAAAAAACCAACAAGGACTGGAGGTGTGGGCTTGCTTTGCAAGCATAAAGCCCTGAGTTCAAACTCCTGTCCCACACACACAAAAAAAAGGGCTGGGTATGGTGGTACATGCCTGTAATTCCAGCTACAAGGGAGGCTTAGGTAGGAGGATTGCAGTCTGAGGCAAAAATGTGAAACCCTATCTGGAACATAATTAAAGCAATGGGGCTTGGGGTATTGTTCAAGTGATAGAGCACCTGCCTACCAAGTGTGAGGCCCTGTATTCAAACCCCAGTACCTCCAAAAGTAAAAAGAATGTGGTAATGAATAAGATAGCCAGAGCTGGGTGCCGGTGGTTCATGCCTATAATCCTAGCTACCTGGGAGGCTGAGATTGGTAGGATTGCGGTTTGAAGCCAGCCTGGACAAATATTTCACAAGACTCCATCTCCAAAATGGAAATGGACTGGAGGTGTGGTTCAAGCAGTACAGCACCTGCTTTGTGAGGCTCTGAGTTCAAAACCCAGTTCCACCAAAAAAATGACAGACACAAAGCCAGCACAGGGGCTTTCTTCAGGTTACAATGGGCACCACCTCAGGCTCTTCTTTCTACAGATTCCTCAGGCTGGTGGAAAGGCCGACTGCATGGTCAGGAGGGTCTCTTCCCAGGAAACTATGTGGAGAAAATCTGAACTAGCAGCCTGGGATTGTGTCCTCCTGCCCGCCCAGGCCCCTGCCTGCCAAGGAACCAGGCCCTACCAGCGGGAGTGTCCATTGCCTTGGCTGCACTGGCCTGAACATCCAGGCCTGTGTCCTCCAGCTTGGTAACGGGGGTCACCACTGCAGCACCCCCTGCCAAGACCTGGCCTTCTTCACGTCACACTTGCTGTTGAAGTCTCCGTTTCTTCATGTGTCCAACAGAATTACCTGCAGAACCTACCTCCCAGCTGCCGTGTGTGTGTGTGTGTGTGTGTGTGTGTAATGCATCATGCCCTGTCCTGTGGGCAAAATGCCAGGCACAGTTGGGGTGACAGGACCTTGATAACTGTGGTCTCCCTCTTTCCTTCATCAGAGGCAATAAACATGTGCCAGGTGAATGCAGGGAGCAAATTTCTGCACACCCACAATAAGACTATGTGTTCACAGTCCTGTGAAGTGGCCCCCAGCTTTTGTTTTGATTTTCTGAGATGGGGCGATGGCTTTTACTATGGCACCAAGGCTGACCCTAAACACCTAAGCTCAAATGATCCTTCTACTTCAGCCTCCCAAGTACCTGGACCATAGGTGCATGCTACCACACCTGGCTAATTCTCCCATTTTACAGGTGGAAAAATAAGAGGTGTGGAGAGATTCAGTCACTTACCCAAGATTCCACAGAGCAAAGCATGGCCATTCATCTATGCCCCTGCTTGATTTCGCTCCACTTTCTTTTCAGAAACTTCATCCCAAATGGTTTAGTGGGTGCTGTTGGCCTCAAATCTACAGCCCCCAAGCCCATCCAGTACCTGAGTAGACCGTGGGGATGAAGGCAGCTTCCCACACGGCTCCCCCGCCCCAGCCACTCTGGGTTACCCATGGTTCCTGCTTGCCATCTCACGCCTATGACCTTTTAGTCTTTGGACAGCCCTTCAAAGAGCAGCCAGTCTGGGAGAGACAGTGCAAGACTAGTGGGGTCAGGACAGGAGGGATGCAGAGAAGGGTGGTGAGCACCGGTAAGGAGGCCAGGAAGGCTGAAGCTGCTCTGTCTCTGTGGCTCATGGTGGCAACCACCACACAAGGATCTAAGCTGGAGCTGGGTGCCTGTGGCCCATGCCTATAATCATAGCTCTTGGAGACTGAGATCGGGAGGCTCGTGGTTTGAAGCCAGCCTGGAAAAATAGTTCACATGATCCCATCTCCAAAATAACCAGAGCAAAATGAACTGGAGGTGTAACTCAAGAGATAGAGCACCTGCTTTACAAATGCAAAGCTCTGAGTTCAAACTCCGGTCCCACCATCGGCACTCCAGGCAGAAGACGTCTATCCCTCTGGAGAATGAGGCATGAGGTATCCAAGATGGACTGAATGTCCAGCAGATACAATCCATACTTTTTCCCTTCTGCATTGACCATGGGAAACCAAGCTTGGCTGGAAAAAAAAAAATCAAAAAGCTGCAACTGGGTCTCAACAGCCCTCTTAATGTCAATCATTCTGGGAAAGCATTTAACAATTCCTTGAATGTTCCTGGACACCTCTATCTTCGAGTTTCTTTACTCTGCTGCACAACACCACTGTGTGCCTCGCTGTCTGCAAGACTTGAGTTTGAGGACAGGTTGGGGCAGGGCTATGTGAGCCACCAACCTCATGGGCTGGGCATTTCCTGAGTGCGGAAAAAGAATGAGGTGGGGCTGGGGTGTAGCTCAGTTGTAGGGCACTTGCCTAGCATGCAAAAAGGGGAAGGAGAATAATTCTATAATCAGGGCTTCCATCTACCTTTTCTGTCCTCAAAGCTCAACACATAGATTGTCTTCCCCTCCTGACACTTTGAGGTACATCCCCCCCACAGCACCACTGCCTTGGAGGGCACCCCATTTGCAGGAAGTAAAGCCTCTGAGCAAGATGGATGGATGAGTGTGGGCTGGGATGCTGGGGATGGAGAGAGAGTGGATTTGATGTATTCTACCAGACAGCTTGCTGGGCACTGGTGGTTCATGCCTATAATCCTAGCTACTTGGAACTGGTGATGTAGCACAGTGGTAGAGCATTTGCCCAGCCCTGTAGAAGGTCCTGGGTTTGATCCCTACTGCCTCAATAAAACAAAACAGAAAAAATAAAAGTGCTAACAGCACTCCAATAATTTTTTTAAATCCTAGCTACTTGGAAGGCAGAGATCAGAAGGATCGAAGTTAGAAGCCAGCCAGAGCAAATAGTTCTCGAGACCCTATGTCAACAAAACCCACCATAAAAAGGGGCTGGCACAGTGGCTCAAGTGATAAGAGCACCTGCCTAGCAAGCTTGAACCCCAAAAACTGACAGCTTCATATATTTAGGTTACATGTATCATCTTGGCCCCACCCAGCCCTGAACCTCATATCCTGTGCATTCTTTCACCAAATTTCTAAAATCCAGTCCTTCCTCTCCCTTCCCTTCTGAGGTGGGGCCCTGTCCCTTCTGAGGCCTCACCCCACCCCTCCCCAGATTGCACCTATCTTCCCCAAGCATGCACATACACACCTCTCCACCTTGTGTCAAAATTCTGTAGCCCCCTGTGTGGTAGTACATTCCTGTAATTCCAGCACTCCAGAGACTGAGGCAGAAAGATCAGGAGTTCCAGGCCAGAATGGGCTACATAGCGAGACCCTGTTTCAGAAAAATTAATTAAAAAAAAATACTGATAGAAACACCTCACCTAAAGTCTACCCTTGCCTGACTCAACAAAAACCCTTTGAATTATCTAATAATGTATTCTAGAGATCTGAAATATGAGATCTATTTTACATCTGCCCCAAAAGCCCATGCTCCAAATGACTGCCAGAGATCAGATGCTGCACTTCCCTCTGCTGAAAATTCCTAGAAACCACAGTTTTCTTTCCACTACTGACAAGTTCTCTGCAAGATCCCATCCAGCACCAAGTTTACTTTCTGACCTCCACACCCCACTTCATTCTACCCTCACTGTTCCTTGACAAAGACAAGCTTGCCCCTCCCCACCTCAGGACATTTGTGCCAGCTTCCCAAAGTGCTCTGTTTTCCTGACCTTCTATTCACTCACTACTCATCATCAGCCAACAGCTGAGAAGTCACTTTCTGGGACAGGCCTCCCAGACCCATGACTGTCACCTGTAAGTTTTGTTTTCTTCCTTGCACGGAATAAACCCAAGATAGTTTTCTGCATTTGTTTCTAACAGACAATAGTCTGTTTCCCTATTTTAAGATATGAGTTCCCTAAGGGCAAGGAAAGCTGTCCTGTTAACCTCAGGACCTCCAGCACTGAGATCAATACCAAGCACACAGAAGGCACTCCAAGAGCAAAGGATGGGGCCAGGAGCCAGTGGCTCATGCCTGTAATCCTAGCTATTCAATCAGGAGGCAAAAATAAGGAGGATGGCGGTGAGAAGCCAGCCCAGGCAAATCGTTCACGAGACTCTATCTCTAAAAAAAGTCATCAAACACACACAAAGGGTTGGTGGAGTGACTCAAGGTGTAGGCCCCGAGTTCAAATCCCAGTACTACAAAAGAATTTAAAAAAAAAAAGAGGAAGAACGTAAGACGGACAGAGGACCACTTCATACCGGTGCCCACAGGGTGCCCCATCCATCTTCAGAAAAAACATACCTGAGGATTCATTATAAGTCTGAAGACCAACAATTAATTTGTTTCCAAGAGGGGGATGGGGGACAAACTATGTTTCCTGTTCTTGTCTGTTACAACAGATCCATTTCAACTGCATAGCCAGATAAACTGAAAAAATCTGATGACTGCCGGGCGCCGGGTGACTCACCTCTACTAGCTACTTAAGGGACTGAGATTGTAGTTTCGCGGTTCGAGGCCAGCCCAGGCAAATAGTACGAGAGACCCCGCCACCCCATCTCCGAAATAACCTGAGCAAAATGGTCTGAAGGTGTGGCTCCAGCGGTAGAGCGCCTGCTTTGCAAGCGGGAAGCCCTGAGTTCCAGTCCCACCACAAAAAGAAATTGTTGCCAATTTTCTCCAAAAACAAAATTCCTGTTTATTGCCTTTCGAGGACCGGTGATGGGATGGGATAGGATGCGCGGGGATGAAGGTACCCATTTTGCATACGAGGACACTGGGACCTGGAAAGATTCCCCCATGCGGGATCTCTGTGCTCCATGATTGCCTTAGGTTTGCAAATCTGAATCCGCGTCCAGCCCGACTACAGCCTAAAGAGCCTCAGACCCCGCCCCCTCGCAGAGCGCCCCGCTCAGACCCCGTCCCTGTTCTCGCGAGATCTAGGAGACGGAAAAATGGCGCCGACGTGAACGCGAGCCTGCATCGCCGCGGAACCGCCGCCTCCAGAGACGGAGCAACCGAAGTCGCGGGAGCAAGAGGTCGAGCTGGGTGAAAGATGGTGAGCGCGGCCCCTGGAGCGCAGGCATGGCGGAGCAGTGGGGATTGGCAGGGAGCGACCCTGTCGCGCACCACCCTCCGGCCGACCCCGCCCCCACATCCGGGCACCCGCCCGCCGCTAGGTGTCACTCAGCGAGAGTCTTGCTCCTACTTCCGGACCGCGCCTGGCCTGGGCCGCGCGGGTCAGGCTGTCGTTCCGCCCCTAAACCTCACACATCCGGGCCCTCAGCACCTCCAAGTTCTCCCTCGTAGCTCGAGCCCGGCCAGTATATCCCCACTATAACACAATCCACTTCTGGCCCCAACATCGTCCTAGTCGCTCCCTGAACAAGTACCCACCTTCATAGTCTTAACCCCGCCCTCTCCCTCTAGGCCACGCCCCCTCCCCAAGCTCCTTTTTCCTGCCCCAGTTGAAAATGAGTGATGCTTCTTTCATATGTGTAACTCCTGAAAGATAACCCCTCCTGCATTTGGGATTTGGGAGGCAGGACCTCTGCTCCCCTCTTGCTGGTGACTCCTTAGAATGCGGGATGCTGGATGATGTCTGCTGTGGGGGGAGGGTAGAGGGATTCAGGAATGTTGAACCTGGTGGTCCTTTGGAGTGGGAGTGGTTCCCTGGTTGGCCTAGGCGAACCCTGAACCAACTCGCGTTTTCTCCGCCTCTTCCACTAGGAGGAGGAACCCTCCAGGCCCAGCCCCGACATGCTGGCCACGACGGAGCCCAGGTCCAATGAGAACGACAAGGAGGGGTTGTCTCAGGCTGTGGCTGCTACAGCCACCTTCTCCTCCATGGAGGAGGAGCCAGGCCCTGACCAGACAGCCCCACCCCCAGTGTGGGAACATGGAGGTCCTGGAGGGACACAGCAGGGTGCCTCTCCAGCCCCTGACAGCTGCCAGCCTGGTCCTGGACCCAGCCCTGTTCTGACCAGCACAGTCTCTGGGACCAGTGAGGACCTGCGGCCTCCCAGACGGCGTCCACCAGCAGGTGACCTGTGATGGGGCCTTCTGGGGAATCACAGGTCCTGCAACAATAGGAATAAGGAGTGTGGAGTATCTCCAAACTTGGGGCCCATTTAGGGGACTGTCTCACCATTTACTGAACACCAAGTGTATGCCAGGCATGGCTCCAGTGATGAGCCAGGCCAGTCCATCTCCTGTTTTCTGGCAGGTCAGCCTGGTGGGGGTGCTTGTTCAGATCCCTGGGGAAAGAGGGAAGGCAGTGTCAATAAAGAAGGGATTGGTGACTCTCGCTGTATGTATCTTGCAGGGAAACAAATTCCCTGCTCTAGCCCTGGCTGTTGCCTTAGTTTCCCCAGCGTTCGAGAACTGGCACAGCATCTCCGAACCCACTGCCCACCCACACAGTCACTGGAAGGTAGGGCCAGGGGAGGTAAGTGGTGGGGAGGCAGTGGTAGGCAGAATCCCCAGGGCCAGCTTTGGCCGTCCCACTCCACTCCTCTGTCCATCCCTGCCAGGAAAGCTCTTCCGCTGCTCGGCCCTGAGCTGCTCCGAGATCTTTCCCAGCATGCAGGAGCTGGTGGCCCACGGCAAACTGCATTACAAACCCAACCGCTACTTCAAGTGAGACGCTGACCTCCTTCACCAAGGAGTCCAGACCTTTATCCCTTCCTATGTGTGTGCGGGGCGAGTTGGGTATGGGGTGTGGGCGTACCCTGAGGAAGCCCCTCACTGCATGCCCAAAAGAAGTAACAGAGCAAGTCTCAGGGACTGAGGGCAAAGCCCCAAAGGGGAATACATGAGTGTGGGTACACCTTAAAATTGAGGCTTCTTTCGGTATTTTCCCAGAGCTGCAGGGGCCCGGAAGGGTCACTGCCACAGCAGGGGAGGGCACATAGGGAAAGCTCCTTCCCACAGATGGGGCGGCATCCAAAAATTGAACCCAAGATTTCCTTCCCACGGGATCCTAGGTAGCTGTGAATAGGCCCCTTCCTCATTGTCCCGGAGACAGCCCGGCCCTGTGCCCGCCTCCAGGTGTGAGAACTGCCTCCTGCGCTTCCGCACTCACCGCTCGCTGTTCAAGCATCTGCATGTGTGCGCAGAGCATGCTCAGAGCCCCGCCCCGCCGCCACCCTCGGCCCTGGACAAGGAGTCACCTGCGTCCGAGCGCCCCCCAGAGTCCGACACAGCGTCGGCGGCTGGCCTGCCGTTCCCGCTCCTCGAGTCCTTCGCGACCCCCACCTCTGCCTCCACTGGGCCCTTCCTACCCTACCTGAACCCCGCGCCCTTTGGCCTAAGCCCCTCCCGCCTGCGTCCTTTCCTGGCTGCCGCTCCCGGGCCGCCAGCCTCCAGCGCCGCCGTCTGGAAAAAGAGTCAAGGTGAGTGTCGGGGAGGGGCCGCCAGAAGGGCTGGCTGGGCTTACCCTCACTCTGAACTTGACCCGCCCGTTCACAGCAGGTGCTGGCGGCAGCCCCCGAAGACCGCAGGGCGGCTCCGATGCGCCCTCAGGTGCGTGCAGGTGACCACCAGGGTAGGGTGGAGGGGCTTTCTTTCCGTGGATTGCTGGGGGTCAGCAGTGCCCGCTCCCTTCCCAGGTGGCCAGAAATGCCACTCCCTAAAATACATGATTTTGCCTTTAAAATTACTGGTAACTACACCTTTATCTGCGCCGGCATTCCTGTGTGAAACTCGCGCCCCGTTCACCTCGGAGCGGTCCTTCCCCAGTTCGGCAGTTCCGGGGATGGGAGCAGATGATTAGGATCAGCCAAGTTTAGTGCCCTCCATAGCAGTGGCAAACGGGCCCAGGCTTGACTTGAGCGCCCGGGTGCTGATGGGGAGGCAGGTCAAGATCTGACCTGCCCTCGCCCGCGTCCATCATCCTTGGTGGACAGGACCTCTGGGGTGAGGCCTGGGATTGACGGGGTCCCGCTGCCTGCCTGCCCGCAGGGTACGCGGCCTCGAGCCGCATCGTGTGGGAGCACACGCGCGGCCGCTATTCGTGCATGCAGTGCGCCTTCTCCACGGCCTCGCGGCCCGCCATGACACTGCACCTGCAAGACCACCGCCCCGGCGCCCCCGCAGCCCCGGCGCCCGGGCAGCCGCGCCCCGACGCCCCTGCGGGTAAGGCTGAGAAATGCGTGGGCGGAGAGGGCGGGGAGCCAGAGGCTCAGGTGCCCCCTCCTCTGCCCCACCCAGATCTGACCCCTCTTGCATCTGCTGTGTCGCCGCTGCTGTCAGAAGGGGAGCTTCCGGTTTTCTCACAGCTTTGAACCCCCTGCGTTGGGCTGGATCGTAGGGTATGGGAATTTTTGTAATTTGAGGAGTGGGGACAATAAACGAGGCGCGATGAGCCAGCCTGTGCTGTGTGTGGGTCCCTTGGCACCTAGTGGACTTAGGGTGCTAACACTGTGGGAGGGGCAACTTTAGTACATGACATGTCCCCTCACAGCTCCCTGTCGCCATAAACCCCATCACCTAAAACCCTGGGACCCAAGTCTTCGGCTCAGTGCCACCCAGCCACCTGTAGAAGGGGTGGACCGTTCAGTGCCACCATCCTGCCCCACTACTTTGAAATCAGATGGAAGCCTGGCACCGGTGGCTCACGCCTATAATCCTAGCTACTTAGGAGGCAGAGCTCAGGAGTATCGAGTTCGATGCCACCGCAGGCAAATTCTAGAGAGCCTATCTCAAAAAAAACTTCACAAAAAAGTGCTGGTAGAGTGGCTCAAGTGGTAAAATCACCTGCCCAGCAAGAGTAAGGCCCTGAGTTCAAATCCCAGTACTGCCAAAAAAGAAAAATCAAGATAGGATGGGATTTTTCAGGGTTTTATTTATTTAAAAAGTTCCAGGTGGGCTGGCAGAGTGACTTAAGTGGTAGAGGGTCTGCTTAGCAAGTGTGCGGCCCTGAGTTCAAATTCAAGTGCTGCAAAAAATTTTTTTTCAGGAGTCAGGCCTGAGGATGTGGCTCAAGTGACAGAGCGTCAGGCCCCTAGTTCAGACTCCAATACTGAAAATAAAGTTCCAGTAGTCACAGGCTGAAAGGCTGCTTCTGAGAAAGTTCAGGCTGGTCTGGATGGACCCCCTGATCCTGAGGCCAGTGGACTCGCAAAGAGAGAAAACTTAGGAGGGGAAGGGGAGAGTCATGTAGGGGTGGGGAGGAAAGGGCAGACTGGGGGCCCAAGCCTCATCTCCACCCTCCTTGATGTCCTGTACATCTTCCTGCTGCTGGCTTCTGCCCCTATTCCAGCTCTGGGAAGCCTGGGCTCCCTCCTGCCTCATCTTGGTCCTCATCATGGGAAGCCATGTGTCCTGGTTCAAGAGCCAGGCTAACCAAGCCTGCTGGATATGGAAGTCCAGGCATTGTTCAGTCACTCCTTGGAGGCTAGTTATACCCCCACTTTGCATCCTTCCCTTTCCTTTCAGACATATAGTCTCCTAGCCCAGGCCTCATCTCTCTCCCACTTCCCAGGCAACTCCTCCTGCCCTTCCCTTCAAGTCTAAACACCACTGGAAACACTCTTCTGATACTGCCCCTCTCCTGCCCAGTACCTTTCAACAGCTACGGGATGAAGATCCTGTTCTCCCTGTAGCCCACTAGGCCTATCTTGACCTTCCCCGTCCCCTCCTCATCCTTCCTTCATGCTCCTTCTGGAGACCACAGACATCCTGGAAGCAAGAACCCAAGGACCTCCTTAGCCCCAACCACTCCTTAACCTCCCCTTCCCCCCATCTTCTGACCCCATATCAGAATTATCACCTATCACCTCTTCATCCTGCAGCAAGAAGCCAGTAATCCCCTGGGTGAGACCCCCCAGATCCTACCCCTGCCTCGGCTCCTCCATCTTCTTCTCCCTCCTCATCCTGGTCCCCCAGTACATTCACCCCAGACTCTGAAATGAAACCATCCAGGTGGACAGGATGAGGCAACTAAGCTCGTGTCACCTTAAGGTTGGGTAAGCGTTCCAAGCCCCACCAGCCCTGCAGCTTCTGTGAGAGGCAGGAACAGGATCCTGGACAGATGAGACCCAAGCCACCTGGACCCAGAGAGCCCACCAGCCTGCCTGCTACACCTCTGGGGTCCAGGTGACTCAAGCTGGTGTCTACTCTTCCAGGACCTAAAGGCCCCTGCTGAGTGGTTGTCATTTTTCACCAGCTGTGGGGTGGAGTCAGAATGGCCATCAGAGGACCCTGGGACTCCAAGGCCCTCTGAACTCCCCCCTTCTCAGCCAGAAGTCTCAGAACCTGTGTGACCCTGGCAGGGTCAACTTCTATGCACCTTGCCTTCTTAAGTTCTTAAAATGGGTGTCATCATGTTCATGCTTTGGAGTCTCTGGGAAGATTAAAAGGGGGACCTGGTGCAGGGAGAGGAGAAGGTTGGGAAATAACTGCTCAGCGACTCCCTCTCTGGCCACCAAGCCCATGATTACCTGGGATCCTGTGGGTGGCAGGGTGTTAAGAGTCTCATTGTCCAATGGAGAAGGTGAGGCTAGGACTGCCACGCTCAGTTCCAAGTCTGGGGTAATCTGCTGATTCTGCCCTGCCCAAGAGGCTGGGCCCAAGTTGTCACAGATAAGAAAGGCCCAGCACCCTTGGAGATCCTGCTCTGGTCCATCTCCTACTTCACCTCCAGAGATAGAGCCATGTCTTCTGTCCCTCAGGCCCCCAACCCATCTCCAGGGTAACCAGTGGCCCCTAGGAAGTCTTCCCATCAGGTTCCTCAATTGGCCACCCCCATCCAGGCCATGATACTTCCAGCCGGCAGAGGTCCAGAGCCAGCACTTTGGTCAAGTACCTCTCTCCCACCCATCGCCCTCTGAGACAGAACAGCCCCTCCATGAGTCCCAGGGGGTCCACACCGCCTATGTAGCCTTTTGGAGCAGCAGAAACTCTGCCCTCAGGCCCCAGGGAGCTTCCACTGCACCCTGTCTACTCCAAAAGTACCTGCTAGCCTTACCGCCTACCACGTACGTCCAACATTTGCTGCCCTGGGAAGCCTTACTGTCCCCCCACCCACCCACCCAAAGTCTCTTCTGGGCTCCAGCATTGCCGCCGCCTCTTTCCTGGCCACGTTGGGACCTCACAGAGTGTTCTCTGCCCCTAACTCATAGAAAGCCGAGTCCGCTTAGTGCCCTGGCTGTCCCATAGGGGGCGCCTAAGAGCGTCAGACTGGGGATGAAAAAAAGGATGATCCTGGGCCAACGCAGCCTGAACCCCGGCGCGCACAGAAGTGACCAGAGGAACAAGCTGAGCGGCTCCAAGAGGCTTAACTGCGCCAAGAGGCCGGCCAGATGCCGCTCTACAGCCCGGCAATTACCAGCAACAGTTTTGTCACCCGCAGGTGCCGGCTGGGTTACCCGCAATGGGGTTAGGAGAGGTAGAGCGTATCCCCAGCTCCTGCTCCTGATGCCAGCCAGGTCGAGCTCCCTATTCCGGGCTTCCGACTGCTCCGCGTTCCCGACCTCTCTCCCTCCTCGCAGAGTCCCAGAGCCGCGCCCCAAAGAACCGCACTCCTCCAGGCAGGCCCTGGCCGGAGCTCTCTTGGGGCTTCTGATTCTCTATCAGTTGAAGCCACCTGGTCAGAGCCACGGCCATTGCTGCACGGACCCCGGCCGGGAACCGCAACCAAGGCGCCAAGTACACAAAGGAGAGGGGACACGCCCCCTGGCGGTCGTGACAGAGGCCTTCGCGCCACCCCAAGTCCCTTGCGCGCACCGTGCAGGGGCTTCGATCCCCATTGCCCCAAAGTTGGGTACGTCCACACTACTGAGTGGCTGGCCGAGAATCCTCAACTGTTATTTAACCCTTTAGCTTGCCTTGACTGAGCACTTACTGTATGCTCTGGTCCAACAGTCGCTTGTTCTTTCATTCTTCCCCATTTCATTTCATCATGGTGACTGAAAACCCAGAGAGGCCCCAGCCTTGGTCACCCTTGCCTTCCCAGTCTCCTGTTTAAAGGAGGACCCACATCTGGGAACTGTGACTCAGAAATACAGAGGCACAGAGGCGTCAAAATCTTGACGCTGTGCTCTTGAAGGAGATGTAAAAATAGAGCCCAGTCTAACCTTCCAGCCTCAGCTGAGTCCTTCCCATTTAAATTAGCTTATGAAAGCGCACCTGGTTTATTCCCTAGAGTCACCTATGTTCTTGCTACTTCAAGTGTGGCCCATGACCAGCAGCCTCACTCCCCCTGGGATCTGACTCACCACCTGAGCCAGAGCCTGCACTTTCACAGTGTCTGGGAGTGACTCCCCCAGACAGAGCCTCCCAGCACACAGAGCCTCTCAGCTCAGCCATGCAATAGAACCACCAGGCCAGGGTCTAAAAAGTCTCCCTGCCCAGGGCACACCCCAGCCCAAAAAAGTCAGAACCTCTGGAGGTTCTATTTGTAAACAGCTCAATGATTCCAATGTATGGCCAAACTGAGAATCAGGGTTCTACACTCTCCCGGTAGGCATCTTCTTCCTTCACCTATTGTGACTGAGGCCCCCAATTTCCTGAGGACATTGTATTTAACTGTCCTGGTTTGGCCTTTCTGCTCTCCTTTCTTCTCCCTTCAACCACTGGGAATGTGGGGTATCCCCAGAACCCATTCCACCCTGGGGACAAGCTGTGACACCACCCACCCCTGCAAATCTGCCATCCCAGCTGAGCTCTGTGCCCCAGGCACCAGCCAATGGGACATCTGCCCCCTAATGGGGAAGTCCTGTAGAGAGGGGGAGAAGTGTTGAAATGAGGAAGGCAAATGAGGCAACAAGGGCAGGCAGATGTGTTCTTACCATCCCACCAACCCCCACCCCCACGTCCTGGGTCTCCCCACTGAGATGACACCCCCCCACCCCGTTGCTCTCTGGCCCTGACTGAATTCCATTTCAGATTGCCCCTTTGAAGGTGGAAGGGCACTAGGGCCTGGCACTCAAGTCCAGAGGTCAGGCCGCCAAAGTGGTAAGAATAAAGGGACAGCAGAGAGTCAACAAACTAATGACAGGACTGGCAGAGTGGCTCAAGTTGTAGAGCGCCTGCCTAGCAAGCACAAGGCTGTGAATTCAAACCCCATGATACCAAAGAAAGACAGAAAAAGAGAAAACAAAGTTATTTAGCTCAGTGGCAGCTCACACCTATAATCCTATTTAGGAGGCAGAGATCAGTAAGATTGAGGTTCGAAGACAGCCCAGGCAAATAATTCATGAGACCCTCATCTCGAAAATACCTGACACAAAAAAAGCTGGTGGAGTGGCTCAAAAGTGGTAGAGCACCTGCCTAGCAAACATGAGATTGAGTTCAAACCCTAGTACCACCAAAAAAAAACTAGTGACAGCTAGTGATTGTGTGTGAGAGATACACTGATGCCCAAAATATGCTTGGGGACAGTAACAGGCAGGACAGGTACTCAAGGGGAGAACAGAAGTGCCTGGCAGGATCTGTGGACAGACTGAGGCGGTCTCCGCCTCCTTTCCTTCCTCCTCTGCCCTCCCACCCCGAAGGCAGCCCCCACCTTTTGTGCTGGCCCGTGGAGCAGAAGCCACAGTTACTTCCTTGAAGGCAGCCACCTCGGCTTAGAGCCCACTCACCCTGTGGCCCATCATCCACCTGCAGCCATGGTGAGTCCTCAAGACCTGGGAGAGGCCTGTAACTGGCAGAGAAGCAAGGGGCAAAACAGGTGGGAACTGAAAGGCATGCCCCAAGGGTGGAAATGGAAGGTGGAGGCTAGGAAAACAGTGCGGAGAAACAGAACGACTCAGGCAAAGGCCGAAAGGTAGGAGGAAGCAGCAGGGCACAGCTCCGGCTCCTATGGTCCAGGCCCGGTCTGTGACTGTGAAAGGGCAGGTGGGCCTGCCTGGGATGATTCCTCTCTCCCCGAGATAGCGTGAACGACAACCTGGGAACAGGCAGCTGAGTTGAGAGCAGAGGCTTCCTGTGGGGTAACTAAGTGGGTCATGCACCCACTGCCCCTTCCCCCTAGCTAGTCACCAAGTCATGACCTGCTAACCCCGACTTATCTAGCCCTGTGGTCACCCAGGCTGGGAGCTTTAACAGTGGCATTTCAGGCCCCAGCAAGAATCACCTCTTTTCCCAGGAGTGAGCCTGGTCTTCAGGATCTTGGTTAGGTAAAGTGAGGCACAAACAGGGACAAGGTTCAATTGTTCCTCCAATCTCTTTGATCCCAGGTGAAGACAGGCTAGGGGGCCCAAGGCAGAGCCTCCTTAGAGGCAGCCTGGCCTTCCTGAGCATCTACCTGTGTCTGTGACCCACAGTACATAACATCTTCAAGGACACCAGGAACATTCTGGGCATGCCCTGAATGGTGCATGTTCCAGCAGATGCCCATAGTGGGGATGGGGGAAGACTGCCTGCTAGTCCTCACAGGGCTGTTGACTGAGCCTCTCGGCCCAATAACCTGGGTGTCAGGGACTGAGACACCCAGGCTATTGGGCACATCTCAGAGTATATGCTTGTCTTTGTGGGCCTGTATATTATTTCTGCAAATACTGACTGTGTGCCTACTATGTGCTAGGCACTGAGAGATCAGCAATAAATGAGCCAAGTCTCTTCCCTGCAGGGGTTAAGAAGAAATAGGGGTATGTGCATACCGAAACAAAAATCAAAATTTTAAAAAGCCAGGCAAGCTGGGCATTGTGTGGTGCACATCTGTTATTCCACCACTGGGATCGTGAACTCAAGGCCAGCCTGGGTTACATAGTGAGACGCTGTCTCAAACAAAGCAAAACATGTCATGCACCAGTGGCTCACACTGTAATCCTAGCTACTCAGGAGGCAGAGATCAGGAGGATCAAGATTCAAAGCCAGCCTGGGCAAATAGTTCACAAGACCCTATCTCAAAAAAGCCCATCACAAAAAAGGACTGGTGGAATGGCTCAAGGAGTAGGCCTTGAGTTCAAACCCCAGAACCACAAAAAAAAAGCAGAACAAAACAAACCCCCACATGGGGCTGGGGGTGTAGCTCAGTAGTATAGTGCTTGTTTAGCATGCACAATTGTTGGGTTCCATCCCCAGCGCCTGGAAAAAAAAAAAAGTCAAGACATATTACAGAAAACCAACACAAGAAAAAAAAATATTTCTTATCTGTGGCAGATAAGAAGATGGGCAGGGATGGGGAGCAAGGAGACGGAGGAATTGATTGGAATAAGGAGATCCTGTCTCATTAGAGAGACTAATGCAGTTGGGGGTACATGTCCCGAACAAGGGGCAGGGCAGGGCAGAGGGGGCCAGCTGGGTGGTTCAGGGATGGTTCGTTTTTCCTTGTGGATAAGGTAAGAGGGCTTCCTTCAACTGCTGCGGGGGGAACTGAGCAAGTCTGGGGGTGGGGAGCAGCACCAGGAAGGGCCTGTTACAATAATCTGGGCAGTGGGGGAGCAGTTCCTCCAGCCGGGGGGACGGTGGAGGCAGTGAGAAGTGGTTGGATACCGGATGTGTTTTGAAATTAAAACTGAAAGGACATGGAGAGGTGGAAGGCTAAGGGGTCAAGGATCTTGAGAAGGTACCTCCAACTGGGAGAAGGAGTGTTTGGGGGGTGCAGGCATGGGGAGAAGCTTCTGGAGATGGGTCCTGCTTGGGGTGAAGTTTGACTCCTAAGGGGAAAAGTCAGGAAGGTGTGGCTCCCAGGAGGTCAGCTGGTAGTTCTTAGCCAAAAAGAAACAGGCCTAGCCGGGCGCCGGTGGTTCACACTATAATCCTAACTATTCAGGAGGCAGAGATCAGAAGGATCAAAACCTGGGCAAATAGTTTATGAGACCCTATCTCAATGAAACTCATCACAAAAAAAGACTGGTGGAGATACTCAAGATGTAGGCTCTGAGTTCAAACCCTAGTACTAAAAAAAAAAAAAGAGAAGCAGGGCTGAGAGCCAGTTGGGCGCCGCAGAACAGGATGGTGGTGATAGATTTGGGTGTCTATAACTGCCAGATCTTTCCACCACCCACTCTTCTGTGTGAACGAGCCTACCTGATGCCTTGTGAACTCTAGGAGAACCATCAGAATTTCCGAAGCCTCCAAGCCAAGTTCCAGGCCTCTCAGCCAGAGCCCAGTGAACTTCCCAAAAAGCCTCCAAAGCCTGAGTTCAACAAACTGCTGAAGAAGTTCCCACCGCCTGAGTTAAGTGAACAGTCCAAGAAGCTCCCACAGCCAGAGATCACTGATCTCCCCAAGAAGCCTGCGCAGCCTGATTTCACTGGTCTCCCCACAAAGCCTCCGCAGCCTGAGTTCACTGATGTCCCCAAGAAGCCCCTGCAGCCTGAGTTCAATGATCTCCCCAAGAAGTCCCTGCAGCCTGAATTCACTGATGCCAAGAAATTCCCACAGCCCCAGTTGGCTGATCTCCCCAAGAATCCCTCACAGCCCCAATTTACGGATTTCCCCAAGAAGCCCCGGCAGCTTGAGGCCACTCAGTTTCCCAAGAAGCCCCCACAGCCCGAGGTCAGTGGGGCTACTCAGAAGGCCTTGCAGCCAGAGCCTAGCACACTTGCCCAGAAGCCTCTGCAGCCCCAGCTCAGCACCCCTGTCAAGCCCCCCTTAGAACCCAAACCCAGTCCGTTAACTAAGAAGTTCTGGCAATCTGAATCCAGCGAGGCCTCCCAGATGCCCTCACAGACCCAGTTCAGTGCCTTTCCCAAGAAACCCCCACAGCTGCAGGGCAATGGCCTCCCCAAGAAGTCCTTGCCCCAGCCTGAGTTTGTGGAGGTCACTCAGACGTCCCCCTCAAAGTCTGGTCACAGGGAGCCCCACCCTCACTCCCCAAAGCCTGACTTCAGCACTTTTCCCAGGAAGTCCCCACAGCCTCAGGCCAGTAGCCTCTCTAAGAAGTCCCTGCCACAGCCTGAGTCTGGTGAGCTCCCTCATACTCTGCCCTGGAAGCTTGAGTCCAGTGAACCCCAATCCTACCCCCCACAGCTGGGCTTCAGTACATTTCCCAAGAAGCCCCCACAGCCTCAGCTAAGTGACATCCCCAGGAAGCCCCCACAATTGGAGTTTGGTGAACTTACCAGGACATCCTCAGAGCCCGAGGTCAGTATGCTTCCTAAGAGGCCACGGCAGCCCGAGTTCAAGCCACTTTCCAAGAAGCCCCCACAGCCTGAGCTGGGTGGTCTCCCCAGGACGTCCTCAGAGCCAGAGTTCAACTTGCTCCCCAGGAAGTTTCCACAGCCCGAGCACAGGGGGCCACCCCGCAAGCTCTCCCAGCCTGAGCCCAATGTTGTGCTCAAGAAGCACCCCCAGCCCGTGTTTTTCAGGGTTGTCCCTCAAAAGTCACCACTCCCTGGCTCGGTTTCTGAGAGCTCACTGCCCACTGCCATCGTGAGCTCCACCCACAGGTTCCCACTAAGTCCAGGATTTGGAGCCAGTGGGAGCCCCCGATGGAGGTCAGAAGACTTCAAAGCCCACCACCTACCCCGGCGAAGGCCTCTGCCCTCAGCCAGCAGTCTGGGAGACCCTCCAGCCAAGCCCCCACTGCCCCCAGGCCCCATCAATATCCACAGCTTTCGGAGACCAATGGCAGCATCCACAGGTGGGTTAAGGTGGGTGGTTCAAGTAGAGATGGCCTGAGGCTCCGGGGCAGGACTGCCTCCCTCCCATGCTCTCTTCTCCACAGCTCTACAGAGCACCTGCTCTTCCACTGTGACCCACTTCCAGGCCCAACAGCCTAAAGACATCCCACAGTGAGTGTGGAGAGGAAGGGGACCAGGCCCAGGGATGGGGTTGGGGGGGAGGGCCTCATCTCATGTATCCCTGCAGGGACCCAGATGAGATCTATGAGCTGTACGATGACGTGGAACCCACAGATGATTCCAGCCCCAGCCCCAGGAGCAGAGGTTTGTGGGTGGCTTTCCTAGACACATGGGAAGCTTTCTTTTCAAGGGCACTTTCTGCCATGCTCCTGGTGTAAGGCCAAGAAGTGATCCAGGTCACACTGGCTCCTGGTGGGCCAGACTGGGAGGAAGAGGAAGCCCAGAAGCCAGTAGCCAGTGAGAAGGTTGTTGTGGGCAGGAGTGGCTCCGGGTGGCAGGGAGCCTAGATAGCCATGAAGAATCCAGAGATCAAAAACAGCAGGACCTGGCAGTGTGTTTGGGGTGAGGTGAGCAAGCTCACTGCATGGTGAGTCCTAAGTTTAGAGCCTAATGCTCAGGTGTACAGCAGAGCCACCACAAAGTTGGACAAGATGCCAGCCAGGTTCCATGTTAGGTTAGAGCTGTGTTCAAGGTACCAAGGGGATGACGCTGGGCAGGACCGTGGGCCTGGATTTAAAGAGAGCGGTGCAGGCTGGCGATGGGTGTGACAGTGGCTGGAAGGGATACCACTCTGCTCTGGAGTTCCAAAGGACTCTTTTCTTTCTTCAGTCCATGCTTCTGGAGGTCGGGAGCGGGGAAGGCAGGCAGACTTCTGCCTCCAGGCCTGCTTCAGGGTTAGCACCGCCATGTGTACAATAAGGGCTTCCAGGCAGGCAAGCATTTCACTGACTGCAGCTTCACCCCCACCCCTGACCCAAGGCATCATCACCTCCATGGCATCAACCCGGAAGTTCCAGGATCTGAGACTTGCCCAGCTCACAGCACATCCAGAGCTGTGGGGGCTCCCGGTCCTGTATATGCAAAGGGCTTCCTGAAGGGAGCCAGGTAATCTAGCCTTTAGGATGTTCCTGCCCTCCCACCACCATACCAAACAAGGCTGCCTTCAGATTGTCCAGCCCTTGCTCCTTCCTGGGCCCCTTTTGCTTCCTCTGGGCAATCCCCGGGAGCTGCTTGCAACACCTTCCTGAGCACAGCTTCCTGACAGGGCCCCTTCTGCTTCCGCTACAGGGAGGCTCTGTGGCTTGGGTCTGGGGGCTGTGGGGAAGGCAACTGCTTAGCATTCTAGCCACTCCACTTCCAGGGTCCCCACCAGTCCACCCAAACCAGACAGACACAACTCCACCTTGCACCCTATAACCATATAACCTCCTCCCCAGACCCAGCTTAAGACCATGATCAAATACCATACCTCCCAGGGTCTCTCCTCAGGATGCTGGATGCCTGATCCCATGCACGCAGATGCTTTGGGGGACTTAACCAGAGCCTCCAGCTAGCTAGGCAAGCACTCTACCACTGGAGCCACACCTTTTCTTTGCATTTTGAGCCTCATTAATCTTGTACAGGCTAGCCGCAAACTCTTGATCCTCCTGTCTCCGCTTCCCAAGTAGCTAGGATTACAGGTATGCACCACCATACCTGGCTTGCTTTGTCATTTTCAAACTTATCCTTTTACTGGCAGGGTGGACCAAGTGGGTCAGGACTAATGGCTCCTTCCTTGGAGCAGTGATAGTTCCAGTTGGTCTCTAGAAAACTGGGGGCTCCTGTGCTAAAGGGGAAGGGTCCAGCCTTTCTCAGAATATGAGTAGGCTTACAGTAGAAGGCAGGCAGTGAGTGACCTGCTCAGGTTAACCCAGCACAGCAGGCCCCAGGGACCTGAGGTGGCACACTTATATATGCTCCTGACTGGGTGACCCCTCCACCTCCAGGCAGCCTTTGATGCAGGAGCGATGGAAGGACTGTAATCTGGGTGGGAGCCCTGAAGACATTATTGTCTGATGCTGAGCCCTAGATCAGTGCTGACTGGTTGAATGGGTCTAATACAGATGCCCCTCAGTGGACTGCCTGATATGAGGGATGATAAAAAGGACAAGCAGGGACCTCGGGTTCAACTTCACTTGTGGGGTTCCAGAGGCTCCTGCTTTCAGCCACACCCTTGGCCAGCAGGGCTCATACCCAGAAGACTGGTCCATTGTAAGAAGTGGCACAGGCCAGGCGTTAGTGACGCATGTCTGTAATCCTAGCTACTCAGGAGAGAGATTAGGAAATTGTGGTCTGAAGCCAGGCCAGGCAGTTTGTGAGACCGTATCTTGACATCACAAAAAAAAAAAAAAAAAATAGAAAAAGACTGGTGGAATGAATCAAGGTGTAGGCCCTGAGACTTGGAGGGCGGGAGGGATGCAAAAATCCACCCTGCCTCTACCACCTAGGTTGACTTCTCTGAGCCTTTATTTTACTCAGCAGCAAGTTATCACCTACTAGCACAAATAAGGTGGTTGTGAAGGTCAGAACAAGTCAACAGGGTAGAGCAGTTTCTGCCATGCCAGCATGTGAAATTAAGAAATGTAAGGCAATCCACTAGAACTAATGAGCCCTGAGAAAGGCCCACGAAGGTGCCAGACTCAGAGAGGTCTTGAGAATGGACACAGGGCAGGCTCACTCCATGTCAAGCCACTGGGTGGGGTAGAGGCTGGGCTAGAGGGTCCTAGCCCTGACTTGGTGTTAACTGCCCCCAGATGAAGTGCCATCTACTCAGCAAGTCACCAGGAGGCCGCCACAAGACCCAGACAGGTACAAGACAAAGGGGGTGAGACAGGGTTGGAAGAGGACCACTTCTTGCTCATGAGCATTCCAATTCTGTATCAGGAAAGAGAAGGCTCCTCAGTCACAGCAGTTGCCACCCATGGACCCAAAGTTGCTGAAACAGATCAGGAAAGCAGAAAAAGCAGAGAGGGAGTTCCGGAAGAAGTTCAAGGTATGGACCCCCAAGCCAAGCAAGAGTCCTGGAGGGCTAGGACCGGGAGAGAAGGCAGGATGCCTGCATTAACAGTATAAGCAGAAGATCTAACATCTTGCCCCTTAGTTTGAAGGAGAGATCGTGATTCACACGAGGATGATGATTGACCCCAATGCCAAAACCCGGCGTGGGGGTGGCAAGCATCTGGGGATCCGTCGTGGCGAGATTCTGGAGGTGATCGAATTCACGAACAAGGACGAGATGCTGTGCAGGGACCCCAAGGGCAAATGTGAGTGGGCTGGGTACCCAGGGAAGGATGGGAGCCAGCCAGGGATAAGAATCCACCATGCCTATTCTCTCCTACTTCAGATGGCTACGTACCCAGAACTGCACTCCTGCCCCTGTGAGTACTGGCTGGCCCTGCTCTGGTGGGAGATAGTGGGGACTGCCACCTAATCTGATTAAGCTCTCCACCAGGGAAACGGAGGTGTATGATGACGTTGGCTTCTGGGGTAAGTAGACCATTCAGGAGGGCTAGAAGGGACCATGGTGTTTCCAGAGGGGCTGCTCACTACCACGCCTCTGGGGAGAAGGGTCACTTGAAAGCCATTCTTTGCAGACCCTCTGGACAGCCAACCATTCCCCCGAGGACATTAAAGCCCACAGGTGAGGCTCAGGACAGCCTACCATCCCAGCCAGCCACTAAGCCAGGAACCTGGATTCCAGTTTGGCAGAGACAGCTGCCCAGGAGCACACGTGACCACATAAAGTCAACTTTGAAAGCAATCCTTGCTTCTTGTCTTTTCTTGACCTCCTAACTCGCACACAGTGAAGTCTGGGTACCTACTATCACTGCACATACACGTGTATATGTGAGTGGGGCACTTCACCCCTCAGCTATAAAGGTAACAAAGGAAAAAATCAGTTGCCTGTCAGAGTTGGGGGAGAGCTGGGTAGCAGCACACACCCCACATCCAGGACAAGCAGCAGCCAGTCTCTCACCAAGTGAGTTTATGACAGCCCTTCACTGGTGAGTGGACTGACAGGGCTACGGTATCAAGTTTATCCCAAACTTCTGACAAACTAGAAATGAGCCTGACATTGTTTGGACCCCACAGAATAAAATCACAAGGGAGCAGATAAGATGGCTTTCAGGACTGCTCTAAAATGTTCGACTGCAGGGACTGGTGGAGTGGTTCAAGTGGTAGAATGGCTGCCTAGCAAGTGTGAGGCCCTGAGTTCAAACCCCAGTACCACCAAAAAAAAATATTTTTATTATCAGCACTGGTGAATCAAAGACACCCTCAAAATGAGGCTTCCACAGAAGTTTTCCTAATGTGGCCAGGGCCCTTGTCCCCCTCATCCCTGGGGCTCTCAGACAAACAACAGGGGTGAGGTCCCTCAGGGTCACAGCTCTGAAGGAAGAAAGAAGCCAAAGTGGCTTCAGCTCCCAAAACGACAGGTGACTGCCCCCACAATACACACGCAAGAGCAAACTGCTTTCAGGAACTGGTATTTATTATCAAAGTCATATTTGATGTCAACAAGATGCCACAACTACAAAAAAAATTGCGCACATTGCAATCTCAATGCAAACAGTCAAATGGAACCCCAGTCATTAAAAAAGTAATTCGAATTACCCCAAAAAGCAACTGAATTTTTTAAACATCTTTATACATCCAGCCAACAAATTAAAATGGTTAACAAGAAAAAATACAAATTCAGAGGTCTGGTATTGATGTTTAAAAAAGGCAACCGCTTAAGCATTTCTATCGATTCGAACATCTATCTCTCGGCCACTCAGCTTCATGCCATTCATCATCCGGCAGGCTCTTTCAGCCACCTCTGGCGACTCAAATTTAACCACACCGCACCCCTTGGACTTCCCGTTCTCCATCTTGATGTCAGCGTACAGCACATGGCCTAGCACAGGGAGGGAAGAAAAGACCACACATGTCAGGCAAACTAAGAGCTCAGCCTCAGTCTGGGCTCCACTCAGTCCAGATCACCTGTTGAACTTTGGTGACACAGTCAAAAAGGAGAGAGACCCTTGAGCATGAAGTGCAAATGCTCAAAACACCAACACAGTGACTACAGCCCCTCTGCCACATTGCCATTGTTCTGTGAGCAGGAGAACAGTCTGCTCCCCTTTACAGTCCAGGAAATTTCAAAGAGAAGGGGTTGGGTGAAGTCCACTTCAGACATAAAAATTGTAGGGGCTCCGTTTTTGATACATTGCCACCTTCAGTCACAAAACCAATCACTACTGTACTGTCCCAATGTAAGCCAGGTAAAAACTGGCCAGCAGATTACACACATTCACCTCAAGCACCTACAAAGCACCCAAGAATGTGTTAAGCACTGTGGACACAGGGTCTACAGGTAAGAGCACATACACAAGGCTCAACTCCAGTGAGGGACAAGGATAGTGCAGGAGGGTACAGGGGACCAATAATGCTCTAGGGAAAACATTCCAGGGGCTTCTCACGGTAAAATTCTGAAAGGGCTTAAGTAGAAATTCAACAGAAAAGACTCCTGCCAGGAATGGCTGGAACCAGAGCATTTCAGGGGAACACTTAGAGCTCGGGTTCAAGGTCAGCAAGATGAAGAGACTTGTACATGTGCACTTTCTTAGAGGTGGGAAGTAGCAGGACTCCTTTTGATTTTTCAGAAAATCTAGCTACGATGTGAAAACTGCAACAGGAAGAGGGAAAAAAGCAGGCTCTGAATCAACAGCTTTCCTCCAGAAAAAAACAGGGAGAAGTGGCAAGAGTGGTGAAATGTGAGCCAATCCTGAAACAATAAATGAGAAAAAAAGAGGAGCTGGCAGCCACCCAAACTTTGGGTTAGGTCTAACACAGATGAAAAGGAGCAGTGCAATGAGGGTTCACCCCAAAGGGCAGGGAAAGACGACGAACTTCGTTTCAATCACAAAGTAAGCCTTCCAGAAGGGTTGCCTGGTATGCCAAGAAACAAACATGTCCAGACCTGTGCAGTCTCACCCACAGCACTTGCTGACCACACTGTGAGTGCAATTTGAGGCACCAAACCAGCAGTACTATGGGGAAAAGCAATTTTGTCTTGGATGTGGCTTATAGCTCTGACAAGCCACATAACCCTAGAAAGGTGGCTTTGCTGACTCATCTGTAAAAAAAGGAAAACACTACTTCCTTTCAAAATTCTAAAGGAAGCTTATGGGTGGTAGTGCACACCCATAATCCCAGCACTCAGGAGGCTAGGGAGGAGCATTTAAGAGTTCAAAGGCCAGCTTGGGCTATGTAGCAAGATTCTGTCTCAAAAATACTGTAAAAGGAAAAAAAAGAACACAGGTGAAAAGTACCTGACACATACCAGGACACTCAATTCCAGTCAGAGTATTTGCAGAGGCAGAACAATGGCAAGGCCCATCGTTATGCTAGAGCTAATGGACAGTGGCTGTGAAGACTAGAAATGAAACTTCCTTGTTTGACTAAGCATCACCAACAATACACAACACAGGAAAGCACCTAGAGAGCCTTTCTCAGACACTTACCACATTCGTTGAATTTGTCCTTTAGCATCTTCCAAGTAAAATCAAATGGGAGCTGAGGGGAAAAAAAGAGGTACACTAATGTGCAATCCAACCACACCTTAATGTACAAACATCACAACAGTCTATGAGGATGATTTTTAAGAATTCTCAGGCTGGGGTTATAGCTCGGTGGCAGAGCTACATCCCCCCAGTGGGTTCATTCCCAGTGGCCCACACATACATAAAAAGAATTTCTCATCACACAGAAAAACTGGCTAAGGACTACATTGGGATGCTCAGCACAGAGCAAACAAGTCTACCCAGGATGAGTTTTCTGATGTGGCAAAGTCAGCACACTCCCTGCAACTTTATCTCTAGTCTATGGTAACATCAGTCAGGGAACACAGCACTCAAGAGGCTGGTGTGGATAGCCCACACAACCACTAAACAGTGGCTAAAAGCAGCTGAGTTGTTACAGATAATTCAGTTAGAGCCACCTTTCTCAAAATCACTGTGCCAAGCCTTAGGTGCTCCTCAAGCTAAGGGATTAGAAACCACTGTCTTTCACCTCAGTCTACTCCATCACCTGGCAAGTCAAAAAAGCCAAGGCAATCACAGGACTACCATTCCTGCCATAAGCTCTCATATTCCTGCCTCATACTCCAGCACTAGATTCTGGGGACAGGGACAAGGTGTGCTCTCCATGCTGCCCAGGTCCCCCTTCAACACTGAGTTCCTGAAGAGCCACTTACATTTCTCACAAATATCTGGCAGGCCTTCCTGGCCACCCCAGGAGCATGGCCTCCAGCTCCACCAAAGGAACCTGCGAAGCTTCCTCCAAAGTTTCCACGTTCCATCTCAATGGCGCGGTCGAAGCTGGCACCGCCACCACCACCCATGGCCAGGCCCATGCGCTCAATGCCAGCGCCTAAGGCGGGGCCCATGGCCGGGCCCATGCGCTCCAGGCTATTGGCGCCCATTCGCTCCAGGCCCATGCGCTCGAGGCTGTTGGCGCCCATGCGCTCCAGGCCCATCCGCTCCAGGTTGTTGGCACCCATGCGCTCCAGGCCAGTGGCCATGCGATCCATCACAGGGCCCATGCGCTCCAGGCCGGCCCCCATGCCTGCGGGCACCATGCGCTCCATGCTCAGGCCCATGCGTTCGATGGCAGGGCCCATGCGCTCCACACCAGAGCCCATGCGCTCAATGGTCTGGCCCACACGGTCAATGGGTGCGGCCATGCGCTCCAGGCCGAAGCCCATGCCGGCACCCATGCGCTCCACACCAGAGCCAATGCGCTCCATGGTCTGGCC